CCCCCCCCCCATTGGTCGCCATTATCCAAGATGTATATGTCAATATCATATATGTCCAAATCGTATATGTCGATGTATATGTCCAATATCAATATGTTCCCAGTTTTTCAGTATTAGAGTCTCTACACTCACAAACAATCACACGCCACACAATCATTATTCAAATCACAGTTTTTTGTACTTTGCGTCCAACATGAATGCAAAATGTTTTTAAAGCTCGTCTGTATTACCAACCTGAAGGATATTAATGGGGCCTCCAAATTTGTCTCCGAGCTGTCCACATGACCGGAGAGAGTGGAATCCATATGGTAATAGTTGAGGATGGCTGCTTCGGCGACGAATTCGTCGAGGCCCAGCACCGTTCGAATGACCACTCGGCTGAGTCGCGCCAGATCATCCGGGAATTTCGAACGATTACTCTCCGAATATTTCTGCACAAAATCAAATACGAGTAAGTTACAGAAGGAAAAATAGACCGTACAAACTGAAAACAAAACATTTAAAATCCAATAATAAGGTATATTTTTTATTCATTTACTTGTTCGTTTTTCTTTGTAAGTAAAAATGCGCAATGAGAGAGCCCATTTGATAGTATTTATCGCCTCTCTCCCATTTTTTTGAAGTGTAAAACTCATCTCACTCCGATCGAGAAGCGATCAGGGAGTAGAAGAGGGCCCAGCAATTTGGCAACACCGGATTCTCACCATTTAAACCCATGTCAAATAATCAATTCTTGTCGGAGCACCTCGCTCCTCCAAGAATCGATAGATTTCCGTAGGTTTCCATAGGTTTAAATGGAGAAAAACAATGTTGCCAATTTGCTGGATCCGCCAATGTCAGGTAGCGTAGCCCCCTGCGGCTCGATTGTTGAATCGATATCAAAAACAACACCATTTTCCTGATGGAAGACGGTACGAATCATGTAAAAAGAAAGGCATAATATACCAGAGAGCATCAGTGGCGTAGACAAGGGGGGGGGGGGGTTCCGGGGGTCTGGAACTCCCCCCCCTCCCTTAGCCTCGTTAATTTTAGCTTGTTTTTACTTTTGGAGGGCAGACATAAAATATTATCGGGGACCTACACAAAATAATGTAAATGCCCCCCCCCCTTAGAGAATTTCTAGCTACGCAACTAGAGAGCATTATGTCTCGAATGCAGATTAGCTCACTTGGAATGAAACAAAATTTTATGAGAGGGTAAGTATGGCTCAAGTTTGAAAAAAATGTATTTTGCTTACTTTTGTGTCCCAGTTGTGGTGATATCCAAGGGTTGCCCATCTGAGTTTCCTCTGCAAAACTGCACTTCTGTCTGAGTCCCTAAACAAATATAATGATTTTGCGTCAAAACCCACATATCTTCTGATAACGAAAAACACCGTGCTCGTATAATCATTTAAAGTTTGCCGACATTCCCCCGCAATAATTATTCATTTGTTGGAGTAGTTATGCATATTTTTCTTCTAAATTTTCATGATACCTACTTTGATTAGCTCATGATGGGCCGCATATGAAATGAGATTCCCCGAAAATCGGGAATTCGGGCCCCCCTCTCCCCTCACGCAACCGTAGCGCAAGTTTAGATCCTGAACTCCCGAATCTGAGCAACAAACGCTTCAGTAGCAGCATTGGACAGAGCATTTCGAGTTCAAACTTCACGCCATCGCGCCTTCAGTTTTGCAAATGCAACACGGACGTCCATTAAGCACGAATAGTTGTATCTCTGCGCCGTCATCAACACGCCTCCTTTCCTTGTTGGAATGGTGATTTTGGTGTGGTGTGTTGACCGAAATCTAAATGGGCTTGTAGAGTTATATAAGTTGGAATGTTCGAATTTTCTACTGTCGGAAGCGATACACTGCTGGACTCACGTCCATATTTGGAAAAAAATAAGTAATGAAAAATGCTACGGTGGGGTCTAATAAGAGTAGTTTCTTCACCTGCAACAAACTGTCCACCAGTCTTCATTAGGTTCCAAATCTCCATGTGCGTCAAGGTTAAGTTTGCTTGGTCTCTTCGTATACTCTGTTAAACTCCTTTCTGCCCATAATCTTTGACCTGCTGCTGTGAAAGGGTTGCGGATAAATATCAGACCTGGATGGACAAAGGAACGAAATTTTAGGAGAGAAATACCTAAAAAATAAAAAATAAAAATAGGAGCAAACCCCAGTTTCTGTGAAAAGATCAGAGCAAAACCAAAATCGTAATTTATTTTTAAATATTTCCTTCAAAATAGTTTTTACTATCGGATTATAATGCGCTTTTACTGAAAATTTCTTACAGTCCATTTCTTGTTTTGTGAGCCTCTTAATTGCTGGTCTCAGATTAAACTATAATTTTTAAAAAAAAAGAGAGAAAAGAAGAAAAAAAATAAAACCTTTAGGACTGAATAAACGTATTTTAACCGTGGAGATTCTCATAGCACAATAATTTTTTTCTTTGTATAAATGAGTAATATCGAAAATTTTCCAGGCGAAAAACCCAGAAATGACCAATTAGAGCTGAGCAGTGGCGTGCTTTCCGATATGTGATTGTTATGCCGATTAAACCTATGGAAAAGGATCGATAGACAGGGTGTTCGCAGCGAACACCTTAATAATAGATTCTTTACGATAGGTTTAAATGGCATAACAATCGATACATCGCATCGCAATTCACGCCACGCCACTGGAGATCCGGATTAGCTGGGATGCTGAAGCACCTCGACAGCCCGAATACGGTTTATGCACATGAAATAGGCAGTGGAAAACTTGCAACATCGCAAATGGAGGTGTGAATGTTCTTTACCTCATCGTCAGCGATGAGAAAATGTGCAATTGTCATCGGTAATCGGTTTCATCTTCTGCCATCAAGTCGAAGCGACACTGCTCAAGGCGCTCTGAGCGACTATTCCGTCTTAGAAGTATTGCACGGTATCAAACGAAAATGAAGGCGCATTAACGAATGTAAATTGACTGTTGTCGTTTGCCACCGTGTAGGATCCGGCTGAACCTACGATATGAGGCTCCTGATTCCTGTTTGAACGATTCTAGTGAAACTTGGTACCAGGTGCGACGTTTTTCAACGGAGAACTTGAATTTCAACTCACATATTGTAATTCGAAAATCCAAGATGGTGGACGTGGCCTATATCTTGGCTCCTGATCGATCGATTTTTGTGGAACTTAGTGCCAGGAGGTAGGTATTTTTTGATGTAAAAGTCGAATTACCAACTTTTCTCCTCATTATAACTCCTGGTGTTGAAATATGCTAATTAATATGACATTTTCATGCAACATCATTATTTGTAATACGTTACAGACTGACACCTTGAAACGCTCACACTTACCCACACAAACCATCCCAGGAAAGGCGGAAAATGAAATGCGTACACTGAATTGAAAAGAAAATAACCGACCATAAAAATAAGAAAAGGGCGAGATATATCTGAAGAACTAGAAATGTTTTATTTCAACTCCACTAACCAATTAGAGACCAAGAACTAAAACAAAGTCTCAAGCTGATTTCCTCACTGAATTTGACTCAATAGCCTGAAAATTTTAAATAAATTGGCAATTGACGCTGTTGGTATGCTTGATTGGGCATCTAAGACCGTTTAAGCGTGAAAAACTAATAAGAAAGTGTGCAGTCGGAGCGTCAAGACTATTTCGGCTCTGAATCGGCTGTTTTTTCCACTATGCGCGCCATCACCATTCGTCGCCAGCGAGCGCCGCGCGGCGTTGGAGGAACTCACGGCTTGATGCGCCTTCAATTCCAACTAGCGGCAATATAGGCATCACCCGTGGTCGAATAGTTATCTCATGAACGCCTTCCCTAAGTGATGTCAAAGATAGATGGCTACACGCAAAAAAATCTACTATCTCCAATTGAAGCGTTGCGCGCATTCAATTGTGCTTTCTTTTCATTTAATTTTTTTCAAAAACTATACGACAGTATTTTTTATTGAAATTTTCTGTGATTTTCCTTATTCATTTCAAATACATGCATAAAAAATTTAAACAGGGGAAAATTGTATTTTTTGCTTACTCTAATGGAGAGTAAGCATATAATTGTTTCCGACTTTGGATGATTAAATCTGTTCCAATGAATGCATTTAATCTGTAACATTTATGGGGGGGAAAATTCATTTTGAAGGTGATTCTAATGTGGAATAGTACGCTCTTCAGTTTTGAACTGATGCCTTTTTTTCTACGACGTAATTTTCATGCAGAAATAACAAATTTTGATCATGGGAACGGTTAATCAGAGGTCAAAATTGACAAATCGAGATTTCAGTAAGAAAAATTGTCGGCGTGATTCTAAAAATGATACCTGCAATCAGTTTAAAACTTAACAGGATTTTTTTTTATTTTATTTTTTTTATTTTTTAATTTTTTTGTGCATTGATACCTATTAGAAACCGGGGAGCTGACCTTTGCCAACTTCTTCTTTTCAGCATACAAATAAACTGCACCCTAATGCCTCATTGATCAGTTTTTTAATTTTTGGAGGGAGTGGGGATCATGCTCTCATCATCCCTTCTCCCTCTCAGAGGTAAATTAGCCGGCCTCCTGTGGTGTAGTGGTTGCAGCGCTGGCCCTATGACCAAGAGGTCCCGGGATCGATTCCCGGCCAGGTGATCTGAGTTTGATGGTCTCAGGCAATGATCACCTGGGGCTGGGGTAATAAGCGTGGGATTAGCCTGTAGGCTACTTGAAAAAAAAAAAAAAAAAAAAAAAAAAAAAAAAAAATCTGGAAATAACTCCCTTGTATAAATCCTCCATCTAAATGTCTGATTTTTGATGGTTGTAACATACAACTTGTAAGTCATAATTTTAATTTTCAAAATATCTTTTTCATAAAAATTTGGGTGATTTATTGTTAGTGCTTAGGGTGTAGAACGCCACTTGTTTCAATCAATTTGAATACCTAATGAATTCTAAAATTGGAAAAAAATGGACAGAAATTGAGGTCACTTTTGGATTCAGCAGCAAGCATTTCATAGGATCAATCCTAAGTATACAAACATGCAGAGAAAATGTTCACCTTTCCTTTTAGACTCATTTTTGTGAGATATTGAGATACATTCAGCAAATAGGCGATTTCCGTGATTTCATTGAAAATACTATATTAGCAAGAGCAAGAAAATTTCTGAGACATGCTAATTACATTTCTGTATATTTTTGGCTGATGAGTCCAAAAATGACTTTACTCTTTATCATCCAACTTCCTTTTTTTAAATTAAAGAAATTCAATTCCCTCGATTCAATCCTGACAAAGTAAGTACGATTTTCTATTGAACATATTCAAAAGGTCACAATGCGACAGCAAAAGTACTAAACTGAAACAGATCCCTAGTAAAACTGTGACAACAGCAGAATGCAATTTCAATTAGGTACTTAAATCCACAAACCTGGTTTGTCAATTAGCTCAAAAATGCGCCACTGATTGACTTCTTGTAAACCGAGAGATGATAAATCTTCATCAGTAGGTTCGCATACACTTGTTCTGCTTGAAATGCCCTGAAAATGGAAAATAGCAGAATATCAAAATAAAAATCCAAAGTTTTTGAGAAAGATTAAAGATAAATATTCTTTCTTTTTTTTCTTTGTCAGATATAAGAACCTAGCATTGAAAATCAAGGGATTTGGCGCTGACAAGTTTTAATTGTCCTGTCATACGACATTCTTTAGGACCTCCAGAGCATAATCAGTAAACATCTAAATCTTGGTAAAAATCTAAATTTCTAAATGCCTTTTCCTAGAATAGCAGGGCTGTGAAGTGAATTTTCTGCATTTTCACGCTCATTTTCTTATGGAACCAGGGCACTACCGCCGTGAAAGTTATGAGGAATTTCATGTTCTGAAGCAGTTGAATTGACTCGATAAGTGCTAGGCATCTGTCCTGTCTCAAAAGCCAGCATGCGATGAGAAAAAAGGCATACTCCTCAATCACCAACATTTCTCACATGGTTAATGATATCAATTTTGTCAATTAAAACTCCTGTAGCATGCAGTGATAAAACTTAAATGTGATGTTAGAACCATACCTTGACATTACTCTCCAGCTGGGAAAAATCCAGAACCTCCTCAAATCCAGGCTTGGGATTCTTCTGTTTGTAATATTTGAATTTATCCCGAAAAGTCATACTTGCCACAGAAATCAATACTACACAGGAAAACTAAAGATTAAACATAAATACCCTGCATAGTTATATGAATGAAGTTAATTTTTTCCTTCACTTGGACACATTTAATTTTAAAAATACAAGCACAATTGTGAATGTAGGGAGGAAAATAAATAAAAATAAATTTAAAACTTTTCTCTTATCAGATTCATTTCGGCGTGTTATTGTTTACCTCGCACTCTGAAAACTTGTCGACTGATAAGAACCCCGTTATTGCAAGTAGAGTCTAAACCGAGGGTGGCGGTAAACAAAACATCGCCTAATTTAACGAATAATATTTCAAGCTTTTTGTTTGTATCTTAGCGTTATCATCGTATCTAATGGAAAGGAAATTTGTCGGAGGGTTGTTAAAAAATATTTTTCATCACAAATCAACGAAATCGCCTGAGATAGTAAAGAAAAACCACATCTAGGGATCACAAAAGTCGACAACTCAGGCCGAGGCCGAAAATCTCATAGCGCATCTTTATTCTCCGGATTTCGTCCATCGCTGTCTTCTTATCGTCTTGATTTACGTTCTCGATATCAAGCCGCACTCGAGTGCCCCAGGTAATTACTTTAATTTAATTCGTCCCATCACGTAAAGTTCAACTAAGAGCCTCAAGGACAATGCCTAGGTGGAGCCATATTTTAGGCGCCATACCATTAGCATTAGCGATGCTTTCTCTGTTCACATGACCCCTTTCGTCCCGTGTGCTTATTATCCCGCAATCAGCTCGGCTCTGTGATGTTTTCCATTTGATGTAAACAACTCTCTGTGCACCCTTATCTAATTTTTCGAATATTTTCCCCCCTTTGTGACCAACGCTCGCGCTGAATAATGGATATCATCCGACCGATTTCCAGGTACATTAACTCCTATTCCTACTTGTATCACTTCCATCCAATTATCACCATTGCATTGATCTCTCCCCTGATTGTCAGCGCCACTCTGTCATTTTCTACTGTGGGGTTTTGCAAGGACCTTTTCCACCGGTCCCTTTGTGGAAACTGCCCTTCAGGTTTTCTCAAATCTCTTGGGCTCTCCTTTGCTACTCGAATGAAGATACAACTGTGCACAAATACTATCAGAATATTTACATGATTGCTCAATTGACTCCACCCAAATCCCTCTCTGTCATGAAGCGATCAAAGAATCTTATCAGTTCTTCAACTTTGTTCTAAAAGGCTTAGCTTTGAATTTCGATTTTCCTTTTTCAATGCTCCAACTATATTTTTACTCCATGTAATCATTGATGTAGCCTCGGACGCTCACTATCAATTTGTACCTAACCTCAAACTTTTGTTGTGGGTCCTAATTTCATCCTGCGAAGCTATCTGCTTTTATGATCAGAATAAAATCCATATTTACCTGAGAAATTTAGGATTATCACATTTCAATGTATAGGGTTCCTCAGATTGGAAAAAAAATTTAAAAAAATATTGTCTAAATATTGTAAGTAACGGGGCGATAGAACAGTGCTGGTCCACAATTTTCTGCAGGAAAATCTAAGATTACAAATTTGGTTGAAGTAGAGCCGTAACAAACTCTAATAAACTTCAGTTCAAGACTAATGGTGACAGTGTTCAGCTGTGGTAGATGCACATGGGAATATTAAGGCAGGGTTGCGCCGAGAGACCTCTAACAGTTTTGGTCCTTTTTCTCCTCATCAGCAGATCACACGCAGCCAGTAAGCCCAGCTAAGTATCCTAAATCGTTGATACCACTAAAAGGCTCTCATGGACATGATGCAAGGCCCAGCACGAAATGTAGCGAGCCAGCTGCTATTGCTGCCAAACCACTCTTACCTAAGGCAAAACTAGGAAAGATTAAAAAAATTGACAATTGACTGTCTCCTAGTCTCCTAGTATTAGCATAAGTTTCATTATATATTTTTTTTCAGCGTTAAATGCTAGAAAAAGTTGCCAAATTGATAAGGTGGTTAGTTACATTGTTCCGTTAATTAATTTTAACAGCACTACAAATAAACTGCCAATGAAATATGGGGTCATTGAATTTTGGACCCGGTCAATATTTTCATTTCTTGATCAAATGTTATTGAATGTTTAGTTCCATCAAAGACGAACCAGGCTTATGCAATGTCCTAGTGGATAAAGAATTTGGAAAAGAACTGATGTCGACGCAGTCTTTAGCTATCGTTGAGGAAGATGGATCCTTGGGATCCGGTGATGATCAAACAGCAGTCAGTGAACTCAATGATGATCCATTACTGGCTGGAACAGAAGATATTCCCGTTCACTTCCGATCGGATGGAGGTATGTAGCATATCAGCCATAATTTATCTTGAAGTATAGTATTCAAAGCTGAAAGTAACAGCATTTGCTGTACCTCTGTTGGCAAATAATAGGGCTGTATTTCTAGTGTTTATCAAACGATCAAAGCATGTTAGTGTGTAACAAGTACCTAGAAGCTTTTCAATTGAGAATATCAATCTATGAAATTACCCTTGACTATATGAAATATTTTCCTTTTTAAGTAGGTTTTTCCGTCATAAAAACCCACAGTTTTATATTTTTATTTACCGTGCAAATATTTACTGCCCTTGCACCTTATCATTTCAAGCACAGGTAAAAAAGTCTCTAACGTAGGTTCTGAAATATAATCATGTCTGTTATTTTTGTTTTTTTAACCAATTTCAAGTAGTCTATCTGCTAATCCCACACTTATTATCTCAGCCCCAGGCGACCATTGCCTGAGACCATCAAACTTAGGTCACTTTGCTTGGAATCAAACCCGGGATCTCTTAGTAATAGGGCCAGCTCTACAACCACTACACCACAGGAGGCTGACAAATGCATTGAAATAATGCCTTGATTTCCTGTAGAATAAGGAAGCCTTTCTCTTTATGCTATTCCGTGCTCCCTATTTTCTCCTTTGATTACTTAAATGCTGATCATCAATCAGCAGATACCCATGAAAAAATGAGGTGCTCAACAGCTCAATTTCATCTCATGCCTGCTTCTGCCAGTTTATACTGTGTTTAGGGAAATATGAGCAAGTAACTCCACAACGCTCCCTCTTTTTTTCAGTGACGTACCGTGTGGTTCAAGTAAACCCAGCAAATAATACTGTTGATGCAGTGCCACTCGTTCCTACCTCTAGTGGATATGTTAGTCCGCAACATAACACCATTCAAGCTGCAGTCCTTGCAAACCCCATCAATGGTAAGTAGTCATAAGATTTTCAATTTTCAAAAAATATTAATGTCAATCACAGAATGTTGATTTGAAGAAAGTCACACTGGGGGAAAAAAATCTTTCAGAAAATGCTGCAGGTGTATTAATAGTTAAGTAAGTAAACACATGAAACAATCCCTCTGATTTTTCGTGTTTATTATTCTCCATTACGCTTATAAAAAAAACAAAGTTTACCTGTAGTAATTGTATCTGAAGTATCTATCTGTATTAATAAATACCAGAATCATTCTTCTAATAGCCTCTCTTAATCTGGGGAGTTGAATAAAGTCACACTAAAAATATAACAGGTACTTTCAGTTTCATCAAATTGATAATTTGAAGGACAAAAGACTACGCACAAAATACCAAGAAATTCGGCGCTGAATAAATGTCAAGATGTTTTTTATTTAATATACGTATGATGTTCACAGTGAACTTCTAAAATCAAATTTTCTACATGCTAATCTCGAGAAAATCTGCTGCAGAACGAGTATTTTTTAGCAATTTTATATGTGTTATCATACAGAGCAAAAGGCATCGCTGCTGAAACAAAGATGCGGAGCCTTTGGTCAGATCTGAAATGAAGCACCGTCTTAGCTCCCTGGCTGGCGCAATACGAAAAAAAAGAGCTCGTTCCTCTAGTACCAACATTTTCCCACGTGATAATGTCTGTAAAACTGCTGAAAAATGTACTCTTCAAAGGGAATTTTATCGAAATTAGCACTTGGAAAGTTCGATCTCAAAAGCTCATCTTGTTCATGAAATTGTAAGGAACTTCATATCGAAAAATCTCGAATTTTAGCCAGTGCCTAATTTCTTTTTATCCCCTGCGTAATCCTATAAAAGTGTCTGTCCCAAAATATCTTTACTCCTAAATTTGTCTGCACAATCACTATTTGGTAAAGATCCTAATACAAGGGAATAATATACTATCATCTACGTAGAAATTAAGTTCTTAAAATTACAATTTGTTTCTAGGTCAAGTGTATGTCATTGGTGATACAAATGAAGTTTTTTCCTCCACCAATCAAAGGTCGCTAGCACCTAGGTTCAATTCAAATTCCAACGACAGCCTTGGCTCCACATCGGTAAGATATTCATTTAAGAGAAACGCAAACTGAATCCAAAAGGATGAATTTAAACTCAAAACATAATTAATTAAAAATCTGAAGAATTTCGGAAACTTGTGTCAACTTCCTTGAGGTTGTTTCTGAATCTTCATTTGAAAATCTGAGGAACAGGACGAACTGAGTTGACCGCATTTGGTATGATACATGCTAGAGTTTTTGATCTTATATTTTGGCCCACAGTCTTGTTTCTCTCTCTCTCAGTTTTGCGCAGACAGTTTGTTTTTTCAGTTTTTTGACTTTTTGGTTTTTTCATTATTTATTTATCCATTTGATCGCTTTACCATTTAAATATCAGATAATCACTCCTACGACACAACATTTGGATCCTCGACTTCTCTTGTTACTCTGTACTGATTTAAAAACGCCTGTAATCAGGTAATTTTACGATTTTGCTAAAGACCAGAAAAGCTTGACAGCTTGAAGCTTTGACTAGATAAATGATGAATACTTTGGCAACTATTAAGTTAACTGAGCAAGTTTGGTATTTGTTGTGACAATAATTCTAGGCTAATAATCAATCGCCTAACTTTACATTGCAAGTGAAAACTGATCATTTATGAATTGTAATGATTTTATTTTCTCTCGCAGCGGGATGACAAACGCCGTGCATCTCATAATGAAGTTGAGCGAAGAAGGAGAGATAAAATCAATAATTGGATTATGAAGCTTAGCAAGATTATTCCAGAAAGTCCAAACGACTCCCACAAAAGTTTCGAAGGACTGGTAAGTTCCTAGTGTTTGAAAATGTTTAATCATCTCATTTAACTAAAACCCTTAATGAAGGAAAGCCAGCTTCTATGTTTCCACCAGAGTCTCTTGTTGTATTATTTGTCTCTACAAATTTAAAATCACATTTCACTTTTGATTCTGGTATTCTATGAGGCCCCCTTAAAACTGTTGCTGGCTCAGTATGTATTAATCTCTGTAAGTAGGGACTATTTGTTTGGATGCATGTTAATCAATAACGTGCGTAAGTGCAAGTTCACTGTGGGGATCACCATCTAAACCTCCCCTGTGTCGTTTCACTCCTCATGGATCAGTCGGGATTCTTCCTGCTGGGATTTCACTAAAAAAATTCCTCGGAAAATATGCTAAAAATCAATCTATCTAAGAGATAGATATGTTAAAAACTGTCATATCTCAGGAGCCTTCTCTTAAGATACTCTTTAAAAAAGATAAAAACAAATTCTGCATTCAGATATTTATAATTTGAAAGGAAATTCACTTTCCATGTTTGATATGTGTGAAAGAAAATTCTGGCCTCTACTCGGACAAAAAGCATGCAGCTTCTTAAGACCAAGATTTGAGGAAGGACTAAAAAATAATTCCTCCTAACTAGAACAATAGAACTTGAAGGGATGAGGAGCAGATACTATAGTAACAATTTATTGAAAGGTAAACTATAATCTGCAGTCATTCTGATATAAGTAAAAATTGTATTCTAAACATGAATCTACTTTCAACCTGTTTTCCCTTGGTTTCAGAGTAAAGGTGGAATCTTAGCAAAAGCATGCGACTACATTCACGAACTGCGGTCGCAAAACATCCAATACCAGGAATGTCTAAATGAAAACAAAAAATTAGCTTTAGAAGTAGAAAATTTGAAACGAGAAAACGAAGAACTGAAATTAGTAAATAATCAATTAAAGGACCAGCTCATTGCAAATGGCCTGCTTACTGAAGTTGAAGACTCTCTCACCTGAATCAAGGTAAAATTTGGGAAACTTGATTAGAAACTTCATAATTCCATCACTACTCTCTGTCACCTCTCAGTTTTAAATTAGCTCTATCGTTGATTCCATTTTATAAGTTGTTGTTTCACCCGTATAGCCGATCAATTGACTTTAAAATAACCTGATTTGAACCACTAAGGATATTAGTGGGTTCTTTTCAGAGAGCCTGGATTTTTGGATACTAATAATCCCTGCACTAGGTTACATCTCGTTCAAGATCATTTGCCAACTGATGTTGTTTATTTTTAGTTCTAGCCGCTAATAAAGCCTAATCTTTCAGTAACACTATCCTCACCAGAGGATACAATGTTCATTGAAGTGGTAGCAATGTTTTGTTTCATTGCTTGTGCTGAGTCAGGACTGAATTAAATTCAAATGTTCAGCAAACCAAACAGTGAGTGTTTTTTGTCAATTTCTCTGACTCATGTCAGTTTTCAGAGTACCAGCACTGTCTTTTTTACGTTCAAAGTAGTGTTGATATTCAAAACAAATTAAGGCCAACATTTTTGAACTTATGTTTTGTATAGAGAAAAAGCCATTGATATTTTCAAATCATACATAGTGTTTTGGGAGAAAAAAAAAAATTGCTTAAAAGTTTTTCACTGGCAGATTGACCTTGACTGAGCTAATTCCAGCCTTTTTTCATTGGTCTGACTATTTTACTATACTCCAAATGCAGTGACCTGATCCTGTCGTTCCAAAAATTATTTTATTATGGTTTTTTTATGAGGTATCGAATAGAAATGTTCTTGCAGACTTTAAAAGTTGGAGTGGATCAGAATGGAGAATTTGCTGGTGTCTGAAAGTTGAAACATGTAGAATCTGTTGGAAAAACGATCAAATTTTTTCAAGCAAATTCTCCATTACTGGTAGTCTTACTGTATTTTAGAAGTCACGTGGACAATTAAAATTTTTTTCGGTGATCATTGATGATTATTGTTCTTGAATTAGTGTTTTACTGACGTCAATGATGGATTCAAACTGCATCCCATAGACTGCGGGAAATGTTTTTACTGTTCAAATTTCATGAATTTTCAATGGATTCAAAGATCATAGGAAATGAATTTTTTTTTGGTTCTCTTTCTCATGGTAAGCGGATTTTATTGAATGATCAACTTTTTATATTTTCATAGAATACGCAGTCCTCATTCTGTACCTATCTGTATTCTGTGGCAGACATTAAGTTCTGAATACGTTACTTAATGTACGCTGCTGTTGTTACTTATTTTTATTGTTTTTCCTTTCAATCACTGTTTGAATGTAAGCAAACCTTTGCTTTTGAGAATTCAGCATATCTTGTGATATAGTTTTAACACTGGGCAGCTCCTCAGCAAATAATTTTAAAACCCTTGATCCCTCTAAGATCGGTATGTAACAAAAAGTAAATAACATTATCGTCAATTGGAAAACTCACACTGCTGAATCATTGAAAAAAATCACCATTTGGTGTGCTTACTTCTTCTTTGCTCTCCCTAACTTCACAGTTGAAACCATGAGCCATGAAAATCTGTTTGAATTTCAACAATGATAAAAATTAGAGTTTCTCAATATTCGATAAAACTATTTATTTTTCAACATAGAGTTTGGTCGTTTTATTATCTCCCGTTTTTACGTATTTATAGTATGTAGTTTGGAATTCTCATAGCATCCATTTTGTAATTAATTGTGTAAAGTTAAGAGTGCTCCGCGCTATTTTTGATTCAAATGTGGCACTCAATGTAAATTGCAATAATTTTTTGTCTTGTCCATACCCTCAACCTTTGTCTGTAACCCATAAATCAAAAATACAATTTGTATCACTCTGTTTACATTTTCTAGCAGAATTAGTCCTCTTCTTTTTTTTCAGAGAGATATCACGATTGCTTGTATATGTGATGTTCTGGTTTAAACTTGTCCTAATCAGCCACAAATTAGTCTTCTGTGTCCTAAGACCCGATAATATGTACCTATTAATTCTCTGTTAGGGCAAGTTAAATTTTTAGAATATGTAGATTTTTTAAATAAATTCTGTTATTCCAAATTTTAATTTCAAAATTTTTTGGTTCCGGAGTGTGTGCAGTTAATGATTCGATATCTTCAATTAGCAAAACCAAAAAAATGAGAAAATGAAAAGCGAGGCTTGAGTTAAACCTTCTCAAATTTATATTTAAGCCAAGAAGCCAATTTAATGTAAGTTTGAGTTCATTATTACAATTTTTTTTTATTTTCTTTTCATACCCTCAGTTCTGTTCGTTAATCTGTCAATCCTTTATTTGTCTCTTAACGTTGATTTCTCAGGTTTAGACCTTTGTTATAGCAAATAGTTACTAAGTCTGATTTTAATTCCAACTTCTCAGCTAAAGTCTTCCTTGTTACATTGCACATTTCCTTACTCTGCCTTTAGTGATCTGGCAGTCTTAAGTAATCAAATGAGGTTTTTTCTGATGTCATCAGCCAATTCTTCCTCTAATATGCCTCTATTCCATAGGTACCATGCAGGAAATCAGAAATCACTCAGAAAGAGTTGCGTTCAATAAATGACTAAGCTATTATCATTGCTGGAACTGTACTCTCAATTTTTATGAGCAGCTTGTAGCCCTCTTTCCCTTAAAAATTAAGAATATTTGGGACCTGGGGATTTTAATCCTGTTAAGAAACAATACTGCACACACTCAGTGTTTGTATTTATCTCATTTTGGTTATCTTTGTGTTGAACCATTTTGCTTCTTTCATTATAAGTTTTAAGTTTAAATATGTTTTTGTTGTAATAAAGTTTTTTTCTTTTTTAAAAGTTTTTCTTCGTTTTTTCGATTTTTTTTTTTGTATCAAACCTTTCGAATTTGTGGTCCGTTAACCATCTGGGAAACTATCCTAGAGAACAATCTACAAATAATTTTAATGGGCTTGAAAAATCTCATAAAAATGTCCCAATTAAGGCTCCAATTTTGAGGTCAAAAGTGTTTTATTTCTGATCCAGTAGCATTAGAAGTTTTAAATATTTAATCTTCAGATCAGCTGCTGCAAAAAGAAGATTTTCTTGTACTTCTGATATCTAGATACAAACAAGCAATAATATTGAAAACAGTAAAAAAACTTAAATTTTTCCATCATATGTATTTACAATTATTTGAGTTCATAGGTACATGTATTTACAAATGAATATAAATCCTGTACACACAGCCGATGGAAATCCTAACAAACTGTACAAAAAAACTCAATTCATTACATCCCATTCTTGCCCCTTTCCTTCCCCCTATGGATTCTCTCAAAATTTAGCAAGTGGATCGTGCTTGATCTAAGACATCTTTTCTAAAAATTTCATACATCCAAACAATATTGGGAGGCATTGCAGGGCTATCTCCTGGTCTTTAAAGACTAATGAAGTTGTTTGTTTAAAATAAATTAAATGTTTACATCAAAATTGCTACCTCTAGGAACGTTTCTGTATATGCAAAAGATTCTTCTGTAAGAACTTAAAAATGTATTATTTTACTTTTAATCATCAAGTGTTGAGTTCTTGCTGTGATCTAAAGTACTCTGATCACTTTCTCTTAAATTATCTTCATCTTCCTCCTCATCCTCCACTTCCATTTCAAAAAGCCGCACTTTCCTCAGACTTTCTGATAATATCACTGCAACTTTCCGACTTCCGCTGACCGCAAATCGTGAAGCTACTAAATTCTCAATTGGCCGGAAGGATGACTGTTCTAAAACTGAGTTGGCTGCAATGGTTGGAATCTGCTGAAAGTTTAACACAACAGAGGAGTATTCTAAAAGCAGTTTTGTTGGGAACTGAACGAAAATAGCATTCCTGCTTTCATTGTTATTTTCAACTAATACTGACAGAGTCTCCGGTAAGTAAAACTGTACATCTAAAATCTTGAGCTTTGCTGTCGCATCAGTTGAGTTAAAGAAAACACAGACTCCTTGTGGCTTCTTGTCTTTTTCACTAGGAATTTTCATGAAGTAAAAGTGCTTTAAATCTGACTTCAAAAATGCTACAAGTAAATTTGACTCATCGTGCAGGTGAATTAAGGAGAACTTTGACAGTTGCTGGACCGTTGACACATCAATGACCTTGCTTATACTGAATAACGAGCTAATGCTACTACTTGGCCTATCAAAAACTGCTTTAATTGCTTCTTCAAAATGCTTGTGCTGTTGGACTAGTGAGAAATTTTCTTGACGTGGAATGATTGTGGGATGTTCCGCAAGACAGGGATTTGCAGCGAGGAACATTTCCCATGAATTTTTTTTGGAGTCGTAAGTCTGAGTCAATGGTTTATCAACCAGGTACTGACCTAATCGGTCTAGACTGCATCTACTTTTGGGCACAGTTGATTCCCTATCTGTTTTGGTAGGCTGGAAATCTCCCAAAGAATACAAGTAGTCTGCAATGAAGGATAAATCTTGCTGATTAACATCCGTTAATGTGAGATCAGGGATTCTTTCATCAATTAAATGCAAGATAACTGCATACAACCACCGGAAAAATGCTTTGTATATCTTCATTGAATCATCAATGACTAGTTGAACTTCCGTGGCTTTGACAAGAAAAGAACCAGCTGCTACAAAAGCATTGGACACTGCCCTTTGGTCTAGTCCAAGACTACTGAATCTATCTTTTAAGAGTGCCATGCCTTTAAGTTCAGCCAAATGAAAAGCCAGACTTTGTCCGACAGTATGAATGTGTTTCAATATTAACTTTTGTATATTAGAATGACTTAGCTCAATGGAGTGGCCCAGCTTTTTTATTCCTTTTTCCGTCAAATCGTTCAACAGAAATCTTTCCAATTGTTCAGAAAACGTACCGAACATTAGCAGCTCCAGAAGCTCTGCAGAGATTGAGCTTTGTGGATCCTGCTCGGCATATGTTTGAAATTTTAGCTCCATTTCTGAAAGCAGAATGTTTTCCCACGACTCAGTTATTGAGTTCATGGTGCTTGTTAAATAATCTTGTAAACTGATGATGTGACCATATTTTAATGCTAGAGTATGAAGCTCTTTAGCACGTGATGCTAGAATCTCAGAGTCATAACAAGCAACCTTTAGATTATAAGCATTGTTTTCTTTTATACTGGCCACAATGTACAAAGTCTTGAGATTCTGGGATATCTCAGCTGCTACGATAGAGACTTGGTTGTTCTGGCCGAATATGTTGGTGGTGTTGATTGTCCCGCATGGGAATAGACCAAATACACTGAGGAAAAGCAGCCCATTTTCCAGGCCTATCAACAGGAAATTCAGCTGGTGTTGGTCTTTGATTTTTTTTGAATCTTCAATATTTTCACCTGAACGCTCAGTGGTAGAACCAAAGTTACTGCGAGAGAGAGATGGAAGTTTGGGTACATAATCCGAAAACAAGTCCTGAAACAGAGAAAAGTTAAATAATTTAACACTTTATTCTTTTTTCACATTGAGATAAATATATATTATAAAAATGATTCCAAAAAATTGTTTGCAATAAAAATTACAACTCCCCTTATTATAATGTATATTTAATATTCAGGACATGATATTGCCAAGTTGCAGGACAATTTTTGAGGTTAAATTCTTGAGTAAAAATAGATGACTTGTAAAAATTTAAAGACTGTTTCAGTATTGACGTATCTGACGAACTGAGGATTATTTTAGAAAGACGGCCCAATGACATGACCCTTTTCCAGAAATTTGAGACATGAATTCTCTATTTCTCATGTTCGAAGACTCAGGTCAATGTGTTGACTTTCGGAACTAGAGAACCATTTTTCCAATAAAAGAGGCCCAAGAGGAATGGTTCCAGAAAAGGGCACATGAGTCTAAAGTTGGTTGGGAATTCGCAGCAAAAATTCGCCTTTGGCAGTGTGTTGAGTAAAATTTCAGGACAGTAGATTCAATTTTCATCCATTAAGAAATCAAACTACCAAAGACCATCAAAAAATTTGGGGTACTAAGATTTAGCGGTGAGAGGAATGATAGCAGCCCTGAAAAATTACCCTTCTGAGTGCATCCATGGTCCACTTTTAAAAATAATGGCTTAAATGTAAGCTGAGAGTATCCCAAATTTAAGATAATATTTATCAATGATTTGTGAGAAATTCCATAGGAGACCTTTCTCTCTGGATGACCTTCGCATTTTAATTTTACTAACTGCTGACTTTTGTGTCACTTGTGGGTGAAAAGTATCATTTTTGCAATGAATTCCAAATCTGAGTCACCCTTGATGGCAAAGAATCGGAGGTGAAAATTTTAAACTCATTTTACATGGATAACACAGGGGTACAAAATTTTTCAGGCTTCCACATTTTCATGCTTCTTCCCTCAGACTTTACACATTTTCTCTAATTAGTTCTGAGAAATTGTTTACCAATTTCAGAAGCGATGATCTTATTGGTCCCATTGACTTATGGCTTTTGACCATTGGGAATTTTCCTCCTTTTCACGTTTTTAGGGCATTATATTTTTAGGACCATGCTACAACAATGCTCGATCATGCCTCTGGGCTAGCGCGTCATTGGATATGATCTAGACCCCTAGAATAACAGTTTCTAGATACAGCAGCCTCTTAATCTAGGGTATAATCAACTGAATATTTCGGAAAAAGTGAAAAAGCTGACTGAACGACATGGTTTTGGCCCAATCTGTTAGTAACGGCAGAAAGATACCTGCGTGCTGTTGGAGGTAGTGTCTGTTGATTCTTGCTCTGAGGACCAAACCAAGAAATTGGCAACAGCTGGAAGAACATGCTTATGTACTACTTCCTTGTTTTCAACATCCACTAGGAATACTTCACCTAAAAAAGTAAATGAAGCAAAAAGTTGGTTAGGAAGTTACCTAAGTAAGTACCCATACATGTAAAATAATATGGCGAAAAAGGCTACTAACATAAATAAATAAATGATATATCAGAATTTATACAATTATCAAACATACTTTTATAAAGTAATACATTGGACTTCAAAATCCACATGCCTAAATAATAGAAAGTTCTTTTTACATGCTGAGAATGGTTATTTCTTGGTCCTATCAATCAAGCAGCATATTTAAAAAATTACAGGGATGAGTAAATTTTTTTTTTTTTTTTTTTTTTTTTTTTTTTTTTCCCTGGCACTGAATCTGAGAAATTCATCCGTTTTCCTCCAGTGGGTATGTACATCAAGATTGATCAGAAAATCAAAGTCTTCCATGAAAACAGGCTATTCCAGGAAACTGGTGCATGCTGGGGAAAGAGGAATATCATTCTCGGATTTAGCAGCCAAATATACCCCTTGGGCAAGCCTAGGAGCATTTTCTCCCATTCCTGATAAGAAAGAGTCCTCAGTCATGTGAAAAAATCTGCCCATTAATTTAATGTAATAAGCTAAGAGCCAGTTGTACTTATGACATCAATGTACTTTCACAGCCTTTAAACTTCGCTAAAACATAATTCTGACTCTCCTTGTAACAGATTGGGTAATATCTGACCTCAAAGTGGTTCCCTTGACCCCTGGGCCCTGCAAGAAACGAATAGAAGCATGCACTCCACTTTCTCTCTGGCACTTGCTGAATTTTGGTACCTTTTGCCGTTGCAATCAGGATCCAAGCCCTCTCACATGTTGTCAAACACGTAGTTGCCTTATCCGTCCTCCCTCTTGGTCATAGGTGGCAGGGGAACAAAAAGCGTATTTCTTGTAAGTGCATTTTCTCCCCGCAAGAAGCAAAAAAAGGAACCCTTTGGAAATAAAGCGATCAAAAGGTTTACCTTTGACTTCATCCCCGATGATATTTGAAAGGGTTGAATAGAATCCTAGCAAATTTAGATGTTATTTAAAAGCTTTCATGAGTCAGTTGTACAAAAATTGAACTTTTCCGATAATAGGCCATTTCATACAGAATATTTTGAATATTTTTATTGTAGGTGAATAAAAGGAGAAGAAAAAAAAAATGTAACAACTTACAGTTTTGATAGGTAATTGCTATCAACTTGCCATCAGGTCTCCAGGCAATACTGGTAACTTTGACATCTTCTGCTGGCGGAGCCAAGGACCATACTCGTTGCCATGTCAGTCTATGCAATGCAACTTCACCTGAAAATATGAATTTTGAATAGTTACAGATGAACAATAGATAGAATTCTTTTGACACACCTAAGTACATCAGCTAAAGTTCGGGACAATTTTGTCTTGTTGCTTTTCTCAATTGAATTTTTTTTCAAACCAAACTTAATTCATGACAGTTTCAAATTTACAATTCAAAAACAGTAGTTTTGAGAAAAAACTATAATAACTTGAACCTTTTATTTTTTTGTGGACTGATTCATGATCATCTAATAAAAATAAAACTTAATACCTGCTGTTAATATGAATAATGAGGTGAAATGTTTAAATTGCAAATGACTCTGAGAGATACTTCTAAGTCAAGACTTCTCTGTAGGAGATTCAAATTCCAATTTTTGGACCTGACCGGATGAGGAGCTATCTCCTGAATGTTTTATTGTTGTCTTCATTTTTATATGAAATCATCAGTATTATTTACAAAATTTTAACCATTTCTATCTAATTTAGACATTTCCAGTTTATATCTTACTCATCTGATTACCTTAGTATTTTATTCTCGAAATTTTCTGAAAATTTGTTTGACAATTGACACTAGGGATAAGAAATAAAAAACTGTACTCCATCTCATGAATTAAAAAATATCACTCACCTTTGGAGTTGGACAAGGCCAGCAAATCCATTTTGGCGGACCACACCATACACTCCACCTTAGAAGCAACATGTCTTTCTTCTAGCTGACGCATGGCGTTTGATGTCATTTTGAACTAGTAGTCTAAAATAAAAAATATCAACATTCAATGCCACTTTCAACGTAAAGATAAATGGTAAAGATTTATCTCTTAGAATGAATCAATTTAAGCTGATTATTGTTTAAATCATCAACGCAACACGCCTGATGAGGCTGAAATGAAAGAAGAAAGTTGCCATTGTTTTGGGCAGTATTCTAGATGCATGAATCTAATTCCATAAAAATTCTGAATTCAGACATACAAAAAAATATCTGAAAATTTTGTTTTGAATATAGGCTTGTTGAAGAAATATGACATTAAGTAACTCCAGTTGATAGCGTTACTTTTTGGGTACAGATTAACTATCATGTTTTTGACTTGGCAGCACAGTATTAAAAGTAATGTTCTCAATGGGTCAGTATTCACTCTAAATTTCATGAAACATCCGGCAACAGAACTCCTGCTTGAAGGAGAAAAATGATAACTGAGGATAGTATCGACGGTGAAACTGCCAAATGCATATCTCCGTTGCAGTGTTTTGAAATCTCTGCTCCTATTTAATTTTTTAAGGATGTAATTTTTTTCCTATTTAAGGAGACCGAAACAACATCATAACTTCAAGTTTTCACAGATTATGCCTCATACAAAGAAGACAAATCACCGAAATTTTCAAAATATGACGTTTTGTAGCTTCCCATGAAGAAAATAGAGTACGGCAGAAAGTCTGCAACGCAGCAGACGGAGATAAGCATTTCTACAGTTTCACCATTAATATATGTCACACTTCTTGTCTAATAATAAGATAACCAAAGAAAAAGGAAAAAATTCGACACAGATTGTCTCCTTACCTTACTTTTTCAGCTATTGATGAAATGAGAGTAGGAGAGAAACTCCACCTCTGGAATTGATCCAAATATTCACATGGAGCAGCGTACAAATGAAAACGAGAAAAATTATAAATTAATACCAGAAAAAACAAAGAAGAAAAACAAACACATTCTGCAGGTATTCCATATATTAAATTTACTCACTACACCATCTTAATCTTCATATCATTGCACTGAAAATGAAAAAAAACTTGAGATTGAGAGGATTTGAGGAGCTTTACATTTATAAGTTAAAACGCAACATAACCTTAAATTTCAAATCATTCATGTTTACATTTTTACAGAAATGTGATTGGTTAGTTTTTCCCGCTATAACAGAGAGGCAGCATCTGCAAAAGAAAGAACTAAATTTACAAGAAATCTTGTTTCAATTATAAAACAAAATCCCATGTAGAAGTTTTAATTAAAATATTAAAATTCGAAACATAAATTTATATTGAAGAAATCACGTGAGGAGAATCGATTCCGGCTCATCCGAACTTAATTTTTCAAGTAACATCTGCAATGCGAAAGTTGGCTGTATGCTAATTTCTTCATGTGTTTTTGTTTGTTTTGTTGGTTAGTTTTTCTTTTTATCTTCTTCGTCTTCCTCCCCCATGGCCCATGCGTATCTGTGTTTGTTGAAAATTCATCCTACAGACTTCTCTCTAGAATAAATTCAGATCCTTGTAATGTGCTCTTACCACAGTTTCAGTGGGCACTCCATCCTTCATAGATAGGTTCGTAAAATGAATGCTATATTGTGATTGTTCGGATTGACAAACCCACAGGTATCGCTTGTCAAGGTACCACAGTCTCTGTAATTATAGGAAACATACAATTTCTCCTTTTTTTGTTTATTGATCTAGCTGCTTTAAAGTAGTTCTTTTGCAGGCATCAATGATGGGCTCTATAATGCAGAACACTTTGTGTGCACAAGTGTGTTGATGTGTTATTGTGTTAAGCTATACGTGACGTTTCCGTAGCTGCACCCTAGAAAGTCTTACTGAAGTGACACTCACGAACTCACTAATTCCATCTTCATAGTAGAATCAACACCAAAATACAAGCTTTTAACAAATAAAGTTGTTGCCATCCTGAAGTAACCATCAGGAAGATCGGGCACAAGTAAACTTCAAATTTCTAAATCATCTTTTTGCTCTGAAAATTACTGCCTGCTTACGCCACTTGCGGTAACACTGTTATGCTTTTAAAGATTTAAACGGTGGTTTTGTAGAAATGTTGCCTCCTGACTAACAGCCGAGTAATTGACTTCTTTTTTTTTGTTTCAGAACTCCAGAAGTTAATTATCCACAAGTATGGCCAGAGAGAAACCAGACTTGAGAATATACTTTGTCATCTCAGATGGAACTACTCCTGACCAGTGCAGCAGTCTCATGAAGCTCACCTATCAGGTATCAATATTTAATTCAGTGATCTAATTTTATGATCATCGTAGATATACAGGGTGCCCAGGATTAAGTACGAATATTGAAGGAATCAATTCTCTGAGTCAGAAAAAGACGTTTCTGTAGTATACCTAACTTTTTTTCCAAAAATGCTCTCCCTGGAGGCCACGGCCCCCAAAGTTGGAGAAAATAATCGTACTTTTAACACCATGACAATGTTTATTAACCCATTCATACGAAAATTGGTATCTGGAGGTAGTTTATAGTGCTCTTTTCATTCTTGACCTCCGCTGAAGGGAACATGCATTTTAAGGGGGGGGGGTTCGGGGTATGGAACTTAGAAGTGGCCAAAATGAATTTTTCTAGCAACAAAAATTGATTTTTGATGGCATCACTAGATTCAACGTCCAGAAATATTGAGAAATTGTACGCATTTCCTTGCTAGGACTCATTGTTGTCGAGATAATAGCGACTGAAAAAAACTTTGATCTCAGGATAATTATTTTTTTCAGGACTGCCAGCAGCGTAGCTTAACAGCAGCTTGGATTTGTGAATCAGAGTGCGACACAACGCAGAATGATAAGAATATTTGCTATGTTCTCGATAAATTTGAAGGAGCGTTTTTCAGTAAGCTGAGGGAGAAAAAGAAATCCTCTTTGTGAGTAACCAAATCATTGTATCACTCTGTTATTTTATGAGCTGTATCTATGCACTGAAAATTGAATTTGGTTACATCTACAACTATGCATTTGTTTCAATCCAATTTTTCAAATCAAAGAGAAGATTTCTTCTCCTTTTTTATGGAAGTAGGAGCAAGGAATAAAGCTCATTATGATCTACTGAAGTTTGCATCGGTTATTTTCTTACAGAATCCTATGGTGTTCAAAAACTTATAACAATTAAAATTGAGTCTAGGTTAATGAATCAATGTTTTTCAACAGCAAAACTAAGTCAAAGTCAAATATTACTGAAAATACAATCAAATTAATATATGCCAAAAACTCATTACCTTGATGTAATTTATTTCTAATAACAGTATAAATTGGACGCATTTCTATCCAACATAAATAAGTGCAATTTTGAAACTTTTCAGTAGAACCAGGTTTGCAAAAATCATTGGCGTTTCTGTATTAATATTAATGAACTGATTTTCGATTTCTATGGTTTGTTTTGAAGCTGAGACGTTCTTTTAACTATATTGAATGCCAAAACTTCTGAATAATTCATATTAAGCGAGATCTGGATCAAAATGCAAATAGTTCTGTTTGCTAAATTAAAAATCCGCGGTAGCGCATTCTGTCAAACGAAACTATGTGCACTCCGCAATCTCCGACTGCTTCCAGCTACTCTCGGCGCGACCGATTCGCTCAGCTTCGTTCGGGCGGTGTTGACAGTTCATCTGGTTCATGTGAGCCGTAGACAAGTTTCAACTTAATCCACTTGAGCGTTGCCGGTTCTCATTCGCTGTCTCTGCAGAGCTCTGCTGCTGTCGATCGACTGCACTGAGCTCTGTCTGACAGAACGCAGTATCCTGGCTAGTGCATTAAATCAAATGGAACCACACATAGTTCTGTCTGCTTTAATTCGTCATCCCCCATTCCCAGTTTTATGATTTTTCACACGCTGTTCCTTCGGGATGAAATGAGTTTTTTCGAGACATAATCATACCTCTGAGTAGCTTAGGTGATGGAGAATCCAAATCTGTCAAAATCTGGAAATTGAAAGTTTGGCGCTTAGTTCCGTTTGATCGAAATACGTCCAATTTTTAGGCTTTGCCAGAGACTTTATCTTCCAAAATTTTCAAATAGACTCATTGTTATCACTACTTGGAGTATAAGAAGACAAACATTTTGGAACAAATTAAATCGTGTACTTGAGCTGTAAAATTTACACAGTTAATGATATTGAAAGGTGCATTATTATAAAATGAATGCAATTCATTTTGCAGTAAGTTTTGTTTTATCATAGTCGGGATTTTCTTCTTTTGCATTTTATGTTGTATTATTAGGATTTTTTCAAAAACTCAGTTTAGCTTCTTAACTGTAGTTTAATCTATGAATCAATTATAATTTTCTCTATTTTGTCCGCAGGATTGTAGGACCTCTATGCCTGCGGATATGTCTCCTGGAAAGTATTGAAATACCAATTCAAGGTTCCAAACCATTTCCAGTTTTCTCCATGGCAATGCGTGGTTTGCACATCACCTGCAGTCAACTGTCACCACATGATAAAGTGAGTCTGAAGCCACTGAGTTTTTTGTTTTTTCTTGAGGGAAAAATCAAATGGAAGGCTCAAAGTGTATTCAAAAGATTTGCATTCATTATTTTTTTTTGTCTTTCAATGCTTATAGTGTATTTTTTGAAGGAAAATGCATGCAAATCTATCTTTCATTGCCAAGCGCAAGTCAGTGACCTTTTGAAGATTAGATTCCTGTAGGGGACCGACGAGACACCTTCGTTGAGCCCAGGCAATGGGAGAACTCTATCATGGATCTCAAAATTGAACTAATCAGCAAATTGCAGACATTTCAAAGGTGTACACTCTAAGTTAAAGATGTTCTGATCTGGTTTTTCTGACGAAACTTTTAAGTCTCAGGTGATGTTTAATTCTGAGATTTTATCTCAGATTGTTAAGCATTTTCTCACAAACAATAGAGGTTAGGCAAAAAAAAAGAGATAAAAACAAACCTTCAAAAAGAAGCCTTTAAAAAAAATTGTAAATCGGACAACATACGTTTATGTAATATAATAAGAACATATCGAATATTCACATAATGTCAAATATTTTATATCAAGAAAATTTCTAAACGAGTATGATGTAATACAAATCAAAACTCAAGATCTATCCATGTATGTCAGTCATTCCCAGATCCAAAATGAGAATTTTTTGCGTATGATGTCAGTATTACTGCCGCAAAAGCCAGAAAGCTGGGAATCAAACTTTTCCTTTGGGGAGAGGGCTAATTTTTAATAATTAATCATTTAAATTTTTTACTTTTAAACCGTTTGAAACTTTTTGAGAGTCGAAAAGAACATTTAGACGTTAGCGTCCAGGGTTTTGATTTAGCTGAATTTGCATTTTTAAATTATTTAAATTATATTTTTAAATGATTTTTGAAGTCAGCAATGTAACAAGCCATTCAGTTGTATAGATTCACATGTAAAAATGGATGATGCAGAGTAAACTGTAAATATGAAAGAACACAAATTCGGCAAAATTGAAACCCTGTATGCTAATATTTAAACATTCCTTTCGACACTCAGAAAGTTTCAAAGGATTTAAATGTAAGAAATTCAAATGATTCATGAATAAAAATTAGTAATGCTCCCATAAGAAAAGCATTGTCTCTGACAGTTTTGGTTTTCGCAGCAGTAATACCGACATCACAATCCAATGGACAGAGGCGACTCCGAAGGGGAAATCTGTTCAATGACTGACCTATATGGATGTTGTCAAAACTGAAGATAGATTCTAAAAGCTCACAATTATAAGGAAAAGTTAGTCCTATGGAAATAGAAATAACACAGATTTAATATGTGCAACTGTGAATGTTAGCCAAAACATTTAAAACTTACTGATTTACAAATTAACCCGAAAGGATTGTATCATCCGAAATTGATGGTTGAAATTCTTGCATTTTTTTATTGGTGTTTCTTTTTAAAATTTCAATCTAATTTCATTCATCTAATTGTACTTTCTCTGAATTTTTGTGTTTTCTTTTGTAGAAAAAAATAAAGGAACTAGTCAGATTTATGGGAGGTCAGTATTCAAATCATGTTCACGAGAAGTGCACGCATGTCGTCACCAATTCTGTCCGTTCTCCGAAGTATTATGTGAGTATTTTAGCATAACGTCTGAATACCTGGTTTCAAAGAGATTTGGAGGACTGTGAAGACTTCAGTTTTGATTATTTTGATCTAGGTTGTGCTACTATCAAAGACTTTTTCAATCATTTAAAAAGTTATGGCTTGGGTCCTGTTTTCACTGAGATTCCATCCAGGGTTGCCAAATCCTCTGCCACCTTAATTGAAAATTGTTCTACCAACCTGCTCACTTGATCTTAAGACATTCTTGAATATGGATTGTTTGATCATCAGGGGCATATCACTACCGCTGATATCTCTTGTACCTATGATTACAAATTATTATAAGCCACAAAATTTTTAAATTATAGCTTTTGTTTCCTCATCAAAACATTTCGTAGAAAACGATTTGCACAACGAAAATTGCTGGAATTAACTACTAACAAAGATTTTTAATGTTTCTTAATGCATAGATTCAAACCTCTTGCTTTAAAAAAAAAAAAAAAAAAAAAAAAAACAATCTGCTTGAATTAAATCGCACACAAAACCTTACCATAGCAGTCTTTGCAACATAAAAATATGACTGCCCCAATATTGGCGTTTTGTCTCAGCTGTAGCACATCGTTCACAATTTGAACAACAAAGGGTGAGGAAGGAGCTCTGCTCATTTGCTCATTGAGAAGCCTGCCAAAACTGTTGCTGTGCGCGATTTGATTCTAGTAGACTCTAGTTTATCATGCGAGTGGGAAATTCAAATTTTTTGCAACTAATGCTACATATTATATAGAAATTTCAATACCTTTCTTTGTTGGTAGTTTATTTCAGTAATTTCCGTCATTTGTACCGTTTTATTTTTGATATTTAGATGATAAAACAGATATCAGAACAGAATGCTTAAATTTTTATCTTGTTCTCTGGTCGATTAGGAATTCTCTAACATGAAGTTAAAGGCCAGTTGATGATCAAAACTTTAGATTATACCAACTGCAGCAAAAGGAATTCCTGTCACTCTTGCTGTCATAATGAAAAAATTACTTCAACAGAACTTCTCAAAATTTTGCACTCATCTTATTTCAAATACTTTCAGAAAGCCATTGAAATGAAAGTAGCAGTGATGACTGAAGAATGGATCTATGCTGTTTGGAAAGCAAGTCTGACGGAAAATGTATTGGCAACAGATGAGCAATTTCTGAAGTATAAATGCCCCATTTTCCATGGGCTTGAAATTACCCTAACTAATCTAACCCGCACAGAAAAAGAAAGGCTTGGCAAAATCATCTGCCAGAATGGTAATTTATGATTCCTCTTTTGCTAGCTTAGTTCATTTGTTCTTTCATTCTTCATAACTGGGTTAAGAGCTCTTTTATTCATGAAGTTACATTTTTTTATCTCCTTCAATGCCTGGTTCAATTGTGGGCGAACGAATCCATTATCAATGTTGCCATAGTTCTACGATCAGTGCGCCATAAAAATTTCTGTGTCCATCCCTATAACTTACGATTTATCATCATGTTGCTATACAGTATAATCTCAATTCATCATATATGATAGAATTAAAAATCAATTTGTCAAATTGTGAAGTCTGTTAATTCGAATTAGCTTAAAGCCTTTGAAGGGCCAGAAGATTGATCTGTTAAATTGTGATCCAATAAATTGAGGTCTTACTATACTAGCGTGGTACCAATAAAGAAATTTGACTGCCTGTAAGTACACCTAAAACCCATTTAAAAACTTTGTAAAATAAATAAGATCTGTGTTCTTAAACGTCTGATATAAAATAGCACGGTTATTAAATTTCTGAATACCACACTTGCCTGGAGACTGGCAGCGACTAGTCTCAACATGCCACAGAAATGGGCAATGAAAGTGGCCTTTTGACACTGGTTGAAAACTGTCCAAGAACGTATAAGTCACAATATGACAATTGAAGTAACTTCATTACTGCTCTAACGTTCAATGTGTTTTAACTCATAAGGTAATGCTAGCAGCACGCAACTCAACTACAGCTTGCATTGCTGCAATCTCTGCAGACCGCCCTAGCCAAGTGGCCAGCTAAGAAAACTGTCATCATCAATGTATCAAAACTTTTTATGAACTTCGTGTTTTTTACAGCTGTCAAAATTCGTCCATAAACCCTTTTTTTTCCAGGTGGCCGTTACAATAAGCAATTGGCAGAAGGAACAACAACTTTGCTGGTCGTCGGGAAGCCGGAGGGTGAAAAGTTTAAACATGCTCTAGTATGGGGATTGCCATGTGTTACGCCCGACTGGATTAATGAGTGCATCAAGAAAGATTTTGCTGTTGAAACGAAAAACTTTTTGATTGCCCCGAATGTCAAGTCATCCACTCAGTTACCTGACCAAAATACCAGTGAGTTTTTATAGATCTTTTATCCTTTAATCTTCTGTGCACCAACAGCTGGTTAGAATTTCATCACTACAATCTTTGCTCTCTCATCATGCTGTCAAGTAAATTATAGGAGTTATATCCTTTAATTCCGATGTCCTGCTTGCGCAAGAGCTGAAGCCAAACTGACCTCATTTCAGTTTACTGTGTGACTGTTGCAACACCGTATTAAACCCAGCTAAAAAGAAAATTTTAAAAACAAACTTTAGTTCTCTCGTGAAATTGTGGTTTGTTTCCTATATTTTGTTTGAGTAGCATTGATTCTGATTACAGTAAGACCTCGAATTATCGGATCGCGATTTAACAGATCGATCTTCCAGTCCCTCTGGTCCTGTGATAAATCGAGGTCCTACTGTAACCAGTCAGTTTTTTTTTTGGAGGTACCCAAATTTGAATTGCCCAACTTTACAGTGAACCAAAACTGCCAATCACTTGATTATGAGTAAATCACAGAAATTTTAAATATTTATTCCATGCTATACATGAAGTTTTGATAAAAGAAAATTGGACGAATCTCTGGCATTGGCATGGAATTAAGCACTTTACCATGAAATTTTACATAATTTTGCCGTACAAAATGAACTTTGGAAATGCCAGATCACAAGAAAGTTTGTTATTCTAAAGTTTTAATTTTGTGAGGCATCTAGTCATAGCTGGTAAGAATGTTTTATTTTGCTCCATTAATCCTCTGTATATTTTATTCTATCAGATTTTTTGCCGGAATCAGATCCCTCAATTACTGGCATTGGGTATACTGAAAACCAATGTACTATTCAAGTTGTTAATGAGACAGCTTCTTTATCTCGGAATTCCGATTATCGCACCTCACAACCTCCTGCAGAGAGCCCCAGGACACCAATCAAGACTCCGGAGAAGTCAAGTGCTGGCACTCCTGTGAAAACTCCAATGAAAACACCTGTTAAAAACCCCTATAACTACAAAGCAATCTTCTCTGAATTGAACCTACACGATGCCAAAAGATCATCTGGGTTTCTTGATGGTTGTAAGGTGAGTGTTTCCCTCTTTAAGCTTGGAAGAAACCATCGTTCATTTTGAAGTTATTCCTATGAATTCAATGGAGAATTTGCACACAAAAATTGTATTACCTCATCTGAGAGTGCATAATGAGCTGAGTTCACAGTATTTTTCATAATTTTTTTCTGTTATGGGAAATTGGAGAAAAACAGATTTAAAAGTGAGAAAATGTGCCGCCTTATGACGTCGCCTGGCGGCATTTTCCATTTAAACACGTGTATTTTAGCAGATTAGGTTATTTTGTCATATTTCCTACAGTAATCGTTCAATTTAGAAACCTAGGATATTCCCATACTCGGTTTTTGTGGTAGTATTAATTTAAAGATGAAATTCAAAAAATTTAAGACACCTGCAAATTCTCTATTATCTCATTTGAATGAAGTGTTTGTAAGATTGAATACAGTTTTGACTTTTAAGTGAACAATTTAACACTGAGAGGTATGTATGGATTCTAGAATTAGAACAAACATGTATGTATTAAGATTATAGTGTTTTATTTCTGCTCAGTTTTCCAGAAAAAATTCACTTTTTTTCTCTTTTTTGTGACCTTTTTACTGAACATTTCAAGTATGAAAAAAATAACACTTATTTTTGTGTAATATAGAGGATGAGTTATCCCTTAAAAATAAAAAGTAAAATCCTACAAACAATCTTCAGCATTAAAGACCCAGAAATATATTTTTCTAGTCTTGCCACTGTTTTTCAGAGTTTACTTTTGATTTTTCTGTAGGTATTCCTGAGTGGCTTTAGTCCTAGTGAAGAAGACTTGTTACGAAAAATTCTCAACGCTGGAGGCGCGGTCCGGTATTCAGAACTGTCGGATTTGGTCACTCATGTTGTTGTTGGGGCATCACTTCCACATCTTACCAATACTTTGGCCAATCTGCGGACTAAGCCGTATGTTGTAACCTTGGATTGGATCAAAATGAGTATCCAGCAACAGCATCCAGCTAACGAAGAGAACTACCTCTTTTCCAAAATAAGCCAACCTCTTGAGGCTGCCTCTCCTCTGGCTCAAAGGGTTTGTGCCAATTTTTATTTTGTCTTATATCTTTGAGGGACGATATACGAGCAATGTCTACTCAGGAGTGATAAGCCCCCAGGGAGAAGTTGTCAAAAGTTTCTTTTCTATCTTATTTTTTGTGGTTATGGAAGGATGTGCGATGGGATTTGCGATTTAAGTACTTGTTTTATCTAGAATTTTGCCAGAAACTCGATGGTGCCAACGGTTTTCTCTGAAACAAACTCCCAAGCTCAAAAAAGCTCTCTTCTTTGAGGCCGTAATGGAGAGGATCCTCTTGTCAGGATGTCTACAAGTCCAGAATTTCCGGAAAGTCCAGAAAAAGTACTGAATTTTAAGGGCAGTCTGGGAGTACTGTAAAAGTGCGGAAATTCCGCAAGAAGGAACGGAATTTTTTGTCACTTTTGACGTAATTTGAGCTAGAAACTCAAATTTTTGAAATTTTTCGAATTTTGTCAATGGGAGGTACTGAGAAAGTACTGAATTTCTTGGGAATTTACTGAAAAAGTGCTGTAAAAGTACTGATTTTTGGCTAGCCTGTTTTAGTAGACACCCTGCCTTGTTTCGTTTAAAGTCCACCTCTATGTCTTGTCAAACTGTCCATGCACCAGTAGGAAGCAAACACATTAGCAGGGTTGCTGTGGTTCCAACCTTGGAGTCGCCAAATATTGCAGCAACTCTGCCAATGGGTTTGTTTTCTACCTATGCATGGAGAGTTTGACTAGATTTAGAGTTGGAATCTCAGTGTAGCACAGGGGATCTGCTCCATTACAGCTTTAACCTTGAGAGTTTTTTTTGAGCTTAGAAGTTTGCTTTACTGGAAGTCACTAAACCAGCATGGCAGGCAATGTGTTAAGTGATAAGAGGGATCTAGGAAAGCGTATCATAATTTTTTCTGAAGAAGAAAGATCTACATGACAACGACGGGAGGAAAATAAAATTTCAAATGTCATTATGAGGTAATCTATTCATAGAGCAGGTTGCAGGTTACAAATTTATGCTGTTTTCATATTTGTCAATCAATTTTTATGTGATCTGTTTTTTTTTACATCCATCCACCCTCCATTACGCTTGCACCCTCTTGCAGTTATTCCTGTTTCTCAATAGTTTGGTCTAATATTGAACTTTGAACTTGAAAAGCCTAAAATCTTCTGTCATTTTTTTTTCAAAAATCTTCAAGCATGCCTAATACAAAAAAGTAAAACCAAGATGTTGAAATTCTTCAACAGTAATTTAAGTTTATTGGTCACTGGAGCGAATAAAATTTGCTGATAAATTTGGAGCAAGTTTAAAATTTTTAAGACTTCATCTAAGACATCAAGCCATGAAAAAATTGTCAAAAACCCGTAGTATGATGGAAAATAAAAACACTGTCAGCTGGTATTAGAATTTTTGTACGAATTCAAAACAATTTTCCGTATTGCAGGGCCTAGAAATGCTTCAACCAGAGTTCCGAAAACCACCAGAACCCCAACGGAGCATTGAAGGGTCTCCAATGTCAAAGCGAATCCTGCGCGAATATTCAAACAGTTCTGCCAAGCCGAGAGAACCAGACACACCAGAGAAAGAGAACCCCATCCACCAGCCAGAACCAATTAATGTTCCAGACACGCAAGAAAGTGAAGAAGGAACAATCACCGATCTTTTCAGAGGACTCAACTTCTTATGTCATAACTTGGACAGTGCAATTGAAGCTGAAGTGATGGAGGATGTCATTCGTGCGGGTGGAAAAATCGTCCCTCCCAGGTTTGCGGGAGTGCTTGACTATACAGTCACCTCCGTCCTTACAACAGAGCTCCAGACCACAACGTGCGAAGTAGTAACTCACTTATGGATTGTAAGTTTTGGTTTTCATTTGAGATACATAACAGGGTCTATAGTGCTGGAGAAGTGGGGAGAATGTAGGCAAAAAATTTTACCCAGCAAATGGCAGAGTTAAAAGTAAGACAGCAGAGTCTATTGTGTCAAATTTTTGAAGATTCCCCTCTTACTCACTTTTTTATCTGATGAAAGCTTTTCACAACTTTTGGCCCAAAAGTTTCAGACAGTTTTAATGTAGGCATCTTAAAATTTATTTGATTCAAAGAGTATGAAAATGTTTGTGAGGCTGGTCAGAAGAAGCGCAAAAAATGTTCAATCTTTTCTAAAAAAATTAACATGGAGAAAACATTCCAAACTCGGAAAAATAAGATTTGGGAATGCATGTAAAATGTGGGTTCAATTAAAAAATTCAAGCAAAACCTCAAAATTATGAAAGAAAGTGGAAAAATTTGAGAACTTTTCCTCTTCACATTTTGCAATGAGTCTGTTGCATGCAAGAGATAAAGCTAACTGAATGCACTTTCTTTGGGTAAATTCGCTCAAAAATGTTGGGCCCCCGAAAAAAGTTTGAAATCCACTTCTTAGCAAGCAATCTGCTTAGTTTGTAACACGCTTTCACAGCTTTTTAAAGCAATTCAAAGCTTTTGTTTTTCCAAAATAAAAAAAGGAAACAAACGCTTGAAAACGATTAAAATCATACAACAGATAAAGTTAGTGAAATTGTTTGTTTATTCAGGTTAATTTTTCTTATTCCTCTGCCTGTGCAAACCTGGTTGGCGTTGCCCGAGGATAACTGCCCGCAGACACAGGAAACTTGAAAAACTGTGTTACGAATTATGCCAATTGCAAGCTAAGAAATGGATATCAGACTTTTTTGACGTGCCAAACGTGATTTTTAAGTGATTTTACTCTTAAATAGTACATTTATTTGGCTGTATATCTGCAACAGACCCATTTTGCCGAAGTACTGTTGGCTGCCCCTGTCAGATTATTAGTTACACTATACGCGATTGGGGTTTTAGGAATCCCATTACGTAATCAATATTGAATAACATTTGAAATTCTTTCACTGTCTCCTACTCATTTATTCTATTGTTGTTTCCAGAAAGACTGCCTGGATAAATGCAAAATTCTAGACATAGAATTCTATCATCAGCCGCAGATTGTGAAAACTCATGCCAAACCTCTCACTGGCTGTGTCCTAACATCAAGCAATTATGTTGGTCAAGTTCGCAATTTTATTCGTGAGCTTGGGGAAGGTCTGGGAGCCAAAGTGCAAGAAGTATTTGCCAAGAAGAACAAAGGAGATGCAGCCGCGTCGACTCATTTAATTTGTCCGACATCAGAAGGAAACAAGTTTAAGGCCTCTGTTAAATGGAAACTTCCAGCGGTGACGATAGACTGGATCATAAGCTGTGCAAATTCAGGGAAAATGTTGCCTGTGGATCCATACTTAGTCAGAGTACACGATGACTCCATGAATAAAAGCAAAGGTATGTTTTCTTTTCTTTTTTACAGTTTGTGAGTTGTGTCTTGACTAGAATAAAACATTCTTACACAGTTAGAAGGGCTGTGTGAATTGTGAATTTTAAAAACCAAGCAAGTATTTTAATTAATAACAATTACAAACAGGAATACAAATTATTTAAAATTGGTCCATTCTCGACCATATTGGTCCTTCATTGAGGGAGCAGGGAGGGCTCTTATCATTGCAAATTTAATGCACTTAAAATAGGAATGCTCCATATCTTTAATAGCTCTATAATAAGTCGTTCTTTATTGCGTACAATTATTCTTGCAGAATAATCCATTTTACTTAATTAATCTAAATTCCATTGCCTTTTAATGAAATAGCGCAGGAACTAAACGAAAATAGCAGAAATAATTTATATTTTCCTCTTTTCCTGAAATGAGAACAAGCTCTGAAAAAAATTGCATTAGAGTGCCCTTGTCGTTTTTGAAAAATACTATGCGCACCAGTTTTCTTTTCTTTTCCTCCAAAATATATGTGGGCCATGGATCAAGCATTTGTGTAATTGAAGGCTCTTGTCATTTCAGGAACATCAAAAAAAGAAACTTCACCCTCTAAAGGACCAGCCACTGCATCCAGCACTGAAAGACAATCAGCACAGTCTAACTATAGGAAGGAAAACCTTGCTGACAAGGTCTCCTCCTTAGCTGACAGTTTTCGTCAACAAAATACTAATGACAGTCTCAATGAGTCAAATAGAATTCGAAGCCGTTTAGTCGCTGGTTGTGACAATCAAAACTCCATGCAAAGTCTAGGTATGTCAACGCGCCAGCTTAACATTGTCTGAAGTGAAATGTTTCCTGTTACACCTTGCCCATAGCACCTCTTTAGCTGCAACCGAGTGAATGATTTTAAAGAAGTGGGGGGGAGGGCCTACAGTCCAGGCACTGCACTGCAAGATTATCCCTTTCATTAATTTAATAACTCTGTCTTGAATTGGCTGTTTGTATCTGTCCCATTCAAACACTTCTCTAAAAAAATATATCTAAAGTAATGAGTGTAACAATTTCATTGTTTTGCTTCATGGTGTCCGTTTCCCTTTGCTGGGACCTTTTTTCTGCAGCAGGGTGAAGAATGTGGGGAAGTTGGGTGCACAATTAGGATTCCATGCTCCTTTATATTGTTCTCTTTAACTTGCTCTATCTGCTCTGTGTAAAGTTTATTATTATGGCAGGTGCGAATTAATATAAACCTGTAATTTCAGTTATAGGTAAATTACATGTTGTGTTCCCTGGCACCAAATTTCACTGTCAGATTTAAAATGCAATACATATTTATCAAAATATTAAACATGTCCTGCATGAAGGGCAGCTATTTCAATCTTGCAAGAGTCCATTATTATCTACCAATTTGTTTTTAATGGAGAAAAGTTAGGTTTTTCATCGGGGGCAAACTGAGCAGTATAATCACCGACAACTATTTTTCAAGTTGGGTGGTTTTCTTCAAATGGTATAGTATAAGCGATTGCTATTAAGTATAATTAAGTCAAAGCTAACATGAATAAAAGATTTTACCTCCTAAAGTAGTTCGGGCTTTTTTACACTTGCCATTGTTAGGTTATGGAGTAGAAAATAATTCGTTAACACGGATTGAACTTATAGGTGATGTGATTAAAATTACATCTCTTATCGCCACAACAACATTACATGAATCAAAGTTGGCCCATCGCTCACTAGAGTGCAGCATTTTCAGGGCACAGTCATCAGCCAATCTGTTAAAGTAAAAAGTAAGTCATGATAAAATTTAGCTGTCTTATTTCATTTTCTGTACTATTTTTTCAGCCAATATGAACTCCCTAGATTTTGATCCACCAGCAAATTCAACACTCAATCAAGCCCAAAAAAGAAAAAGTGACTCACCTTTAGAAAATTCTGGGGCTGAAAGTTCTCGACACAGTGGAAGATTGGCTACCCAGGACATAAGTAAAAGATGGAAGAAATTTGATGAATTCAACCATGACAAAACCCTGGAGCCAAATCAACCCAGGCCTGCCAAAAGACTCGGTGCTGTGAGTATCCAAGTTGAGTATTCAATCAACTTCCTCTTCTGCTCTTTCCAGTTCTGTTTTGTAATTGATATTCATTATTCATTAATATTTCAGTGTATAAAACTAGAGGTACCATCATATTAACATGAGTATGAATTCAGTATTTTCTCGTATGGGACATAAATTTAGTCGTACATATAAAATTGTTATATGGAGGTTTTACTGTATTATGTGTGTGGATAAGTAGAATCCTCTTTTTCAATTTTTCTAATTGTTATGAAGTTATTTGAACAAAACTGACATCAGGGAACTGTGATTCGTCCATTTCTTCTCTGTGAGGATGGTCAGGAGGCATTAAGGCAGTTCGATATCATTCTTGTATGCAAAATCTTCAAGGGATTAACCTTAAGGTAAACATGTCATTTTTTTTCTTCAACCTCTCTATTGATATACGTCAAAATTCTTCTTCTAAACTTTCCGGCACAAAAGATGAGACCCTTCCTCCAAGGTTAAATCACATCTGGAACGTATGAAATTTATTAAACTATTTCATTATCACACTACAAGGATATTTCTCACTTATTCTTTAGACAATCTCGGAGCAGCCAACTCAGAATTATGATGAAGCCCATTCTTCAAAGGCACCCAGTCCAGAAAGTCAATGCTCAGATGATTCCTATGTCCAGAAAGTTGTGAACAATGCTCTTCAAAATATTGACAGCAAGCTTCAGCAAGTATCTGCTGCGGGCAGTTTTGAAAGAATTAAGCTAAAAAAAGGTAAATTCAGTTTGTATTCTACTTATTTTTCTGTAGCTGATACTCAAGTTTAAAGAATTTCTTAAGTGCCCCATCAAGATGTCTGAAGGCCTGGAAACTACGCAACACAAAGGGAGAACAGTTCTCCTTGAAAGTGTTGTGAAAAAGGACAAATTTCAAAAAGGACAAAAAAGAGAATTGTCATGCTCAAAACCAGTTTTTCCCTCTTGTTCAACGTTTCTTTGTCTTGCAATTTTCCACAACTAGCAGTAATTTTTGGTTTTTATAATTTTGAAAAGTAAAATTGTTGATTGATCTAAATTAAGCCCTTCCTTGATCAGTAAACAGTTTACATATTCTTCTCAATATTTTAATGAGCAGGAATCTTTTCTATTTGTTTCTCATCAACCCTTTTTTTAGTTATTGGTTAGTCTTTTATATTAGTTTTTTAATTCGTCACTAATCATGAAACAACCTCAAAAGGTTATGGTCCTAACCATTACAAGCTAATCCATTTTTGATGAGTCCCCATCTTATTTTTAATGAGTCTGCTTGGTCTTTCACTAAAAACTGAAATTTTTGTCCGAGCTTCTTATTTCGTCGTAACCATTTATGAGAATCAGCAAAACCTAGAAAATAAAAGAGGAACTGTAATTGAAGAGTTTGCTCATAGAAGGGCATATTGTAAAATTGGTTTTTATTTTGAAAATCAATTACTCAACATCGCCACATCTTTGGAAACACATTGTCATGTTTTTATGTTGATCCAAGGCTCCTATGCAGGATTAAAGGCTAAAATATCCAAAGCCACTTTCTCAAAACTTCAAATGAGTTTCGCTCAAAATAAATATTTTTCAAGGCCACCTTTCTATGGGCAAAATCTTCAGCTGAAGACTTATCCATCCCTTGTAAATCATGTCAACTATAAAAAAGTCCTTCATTTGCACTTTTTCTGCAATTTTTAAGCTTAACGACTTCACTTGGATGGGAGAGGCAGAGTTAATTTTTTACATTTGTGTTTTAATTTTCAGAAATTGACCCAAATTCATCCGAATTTCTTCTTTTAATGGCTCGAGTACCATTTTCAACAGGGCCTCTAAGCTAAGACCTACCTACCGAGCTACTGTTTTTTCTCTTTCTTTTCTTTTTTTTTTAAAATATATGACTAAGCATATCTAATTTCCCTGTCTTAATTTCAGTTGTCGTCCGTAAGCTGCCAGTTGATAGCCAGCTCTCTGACCAGCCTGATGTAGGTTGGACTGATCCAGTTGAGGCTGAACAAAGACAACAAGACTTACTATTGGAAAAAGGGAAAATTAGCTCACAGGCAATAAAGAAGAAATTCATTTTAACAAGCATTCCTGTGAGTAGTCAAATTTCTATTTAAAACATTGGTCACTTTTTTTAATCCAACAAGCTCGTTTCAGCTTGAGAGCAAAACACCATTAAGCAAATTAGAAGAGACATTAAAATTATAAAAATAATCTGTGGTTAAAAACAGTAACAGGCGAAGAGACATCAGTCCATAGGGTATTTCTGAAGAGTACAATTTTTATAAAGTTGGGTTAATAACATGGTTTTTGAATTTCTCACAGAAAATTGTCTTGCATCCTTAAAAATAAATTGCAAATGGTTTAGTGCAATTTTGTCCCATTGAATTGTGTAAAATTGATTTCCTATTGGACAATTTTGAGCCCTCAATCATTCCAGATCAAAACTTTATTTAGTTTTTTTTACAAACCATATTTTTAACTGCAAATTTCAAACTTTTGAAACCCTTGTTTAAGCCAACATCGATGACTATGCTCAAGTTTTTAGAAAACATTCTTCTGTGTAGAGGTGTAACTCCTTGATTTAGAGTTTCTGAATACCAAGGCCCCTTTTCCTATAGTTATACTGCAGTAAATATCAAAAAGCAGTCAAATCATTAGGCAAATTACTATTAAAGTTGAAACTGGGAATCAAGAATAACTTTTAAAAATTATGTAAATAAGATTTTGAAAAAGAAAATTTAGGTTTTTTTCCATTTTTCCTTTAATTGCATTAGAATTTTAGCTAAGGTTTCTTTAAGAATAAGAAAGAAAAAAAAAGAATTGAATAAATGGTTAAATTGAAGCTCTCAGTGTAAGGTGCATTGTTCTCAATTTCTCTCAATAATTGGTCTTCACATTAACACCAATGAGTTCATCGCGTAAGCCTGAAATTACTCTAATTTCTTACGTTTTATTGTAAAATTTAGTGAGAAAGTTTCATTTTTCTTTGGTTTTTTGTAGCCGGATGAAAAGGACGAACTTCAAATTATCATCACAGAATTGGGTGGAACAGTTTTAATCGATCCTCTATTCTCAGCAGAAGCAACACATTTGATCATGCAGACACCAATCAGAAGTGAGAAACTATTGTGTAGCATGGCCCGGGGCTTGTGGATTCTTCATCCGCGATATATTCAAGCCTCCAAAGAAACAGGCTTTTTTCTTCAGGTAATTTGATGGTTTTTTATTTAATTCTATCCGTGGATGCCCTATAGTAATCATTGATGCAGGTATTTTTTTCACACTCAGTTGGGCTGAAAAATTAGTACAAGTCAATAGAATTTTACCCAGAAGAGGCAGAAAAAATGAAAGAATCTCAAGAAAACGGAAACTGTTAGGGAAAATAGGAAACATATGGATATTTTAGGATAAACAAAGACCAAGGGAAAAGGGAAGTGTCAGGAAAAATCAAGGAATGACATGTTGAACAGAGGAAACAGGAAAATGTGTTAAACCGTGGTAACATGGAAGTGTCAGGGAGAGAGGGAAGAAATAGCTGAGAAAACAGGAAAGTGTCCTAAAATTTCATCAGAAACACGAAAATTCTTCGTACTGTCTAAATTTTATTATCGTCCGAACGAAGATCATAGAAAATCATAATTTAGATGAGGGTAAGTGAAAACTTTAAGATTAATTTTAAAATCATTTTCTCCCTCTTTTATCGTAAGTCATGTAGATTATTGAAAAAGTTGGGGTTTTCCTCCTCAATGTTGCTCCCACCATCTGTAAATCTGTAATAGCACGTACGAAGTTTCTTGAAATCCTCCCCCCTCCCCTCAAATGGTGAATCACATATAACCTAATCACAATCATAGAACAATAGCTACCAGAAAGGCAGCAGTCGGCCATCTTTGCTCCGATTCTTGAAACCCCCGCGACCCCCGCTCAGCCTACCTTGCGAGGAAAAAGAGCAAAGTGCGGCCGCTCTTACCCTACATCTCTCTGCCGTTTCAAATTTCACAGGGAAAAAGAGCGAAGTCCGCCTCGAAAAAGTGACTACACGCAATCTTACGGGAGGATCTGCCAGTTACCTTTCTGGTAGCTGTTATTCTATGTCATTAGTGTGCCAAAATACTGAAGCACAGGGCTCTGCAATGACGTAGTAGCTTTGGCCACTTAGTCAAACATATCGGTTTTTTTGTGGCTTTTTTGTCATCCAAAATTTTTTTGTACTTCATTTTTCTCGTCAGGAAGAAGACTTTGAATGGGGGAATCCAAAAAGCGCAAAGAATATCCCACCACTGACCGCCATGTCATCAGCCAGTGCCCTTGCAATGGCTGCCGTCCGATGGCGCAAGAAAATCAGCACGACAGGACAGTTTGCTTTTTCGGGTATGCGAGCCCTCCTGTATGTCTCGAAACAGAAAGTAGAGCCTGTGACCCGACTTGTCCAAAATGGTGGTGGCGAGATTCTCACCGAAAAGTAAGCTATATTTTTTCAATTTATGGTTTTTTTTTTCAATTCCTCATGATATGCAGTAGGACCTTTTTTTGCTCTTTTGACATCTCTCTTCTGCAATCGACCAGTGACATAGAGATTAACATTTCTCTTCTATCAGTTGCTTGGCAGTAAGCAATCCCCCCTTCACACCAATTTTTTCAACACAGTCTAACTAAAAATCCATTTTTCCGCTAAATATGTCATGACTTTTCAAATTTTGAATGTTATACGTATGATGCTGGACTAAGTCCCTCCATCCTCCTTGTAACGCAGTTCTAGATCCCAATGCCAGGGTTTCTTTAGGTTGAAAAGTCTGTAGAAAGTCAGGTGTTTACAGTACAGGTCTAGAAATCAGGAGAAAGTCCAGAAAATCATTCTAAAAACCTTGGATGTAAGTTACTCAATTGAATGGATTGCTCCAAGAAGCATGGAAGACTAGTGCTTGTAAGCAAAATTCGAGAAAATCAATCATAAATAAAATTACTATCATGATAAGATTTCGAAAATAATGTTATTTTTAAGAGGCAGTCTGATAGTACCGAAAAAGTCCAGAAATTCCGCAAGGAGGTCCACAATTTTTTTGCTTCATGCCATGCGTGTTTCTTAAAATAGCCTGAAAAGTACACTATCCTATGTGCACTGATTCTCAGTGCAGTACAAAGTTAATCTTTAAGCCACCCATGAGCTTCGTATATCACGGCTTTGTCATTTTTTTGCGATTTGTGCGAGAATTTTGTCCTATAAAGGCACAGAAAAAGGACTGTGAAGGTACTGATTTTTTCCAGCCAGTTTAAGTAGACACCCTACCCTGCCCTTTTTTTAGTAGGATTTATGGGGGCATTATGGAAATTATGTCATCCCAATGAAATTTGAACATTAAATGCTCAGGAATTGCATTTTTTCATACATTTCATCCACCACCAATGCACAGTTGATCCAAATAAGATTTTTTTCTATTTTTTGGTATGTTTTGCATTAGTACGTAATATCTAATTTCTTATGGGAAATATTTGAGTTCCATGACCTTGAGCCTATTGATGTAGATCCTTGCAAGAGTTACCCCAAACGGTAACCATCATTATACGTAAATATGGTTGACGACTCAGGATAAAGTCCAGAACTTTCTCTTCAAGATTCTATAGACATGCTAATTCTCCCCCCCCCCCNTTCCCCCCCCCCCCATCGATATGTCTGGCAGTGTACATATGATCCTTATATAGTGTTAAAAGTTCCATTGTTTTTATCTACGTTTCAAACAATTCTCTTGTTTTTGCAGTAGTATGAAATCCAACATTTTAACATAATTGCTTATGTGGCCTCTCTTTAACCTCTCTTTCAGGGAATTAGACCAAGTCACCCATTGTTTCATTGAGAACCCTAGTTCAATGCAATTGAATTGGGCCAAGTATGCTGAATACCACATCTACTGCCTGAACGTGCTTTTCCTGAGTGACTTTCTCACTGCCGAACCGACGCTTAGTCCTGAGGACAAACTCATTCAAGAATATGTGCCTTACTACAATTCTTATCTCTCTAGTACTAGATAATAGACTTGATTTAAACTGTGATTTTTATTTTTTATCCTAAATTTAAAGTTGGAATGTTAAAAATGTGTATTCTTTCATATTTTTTATGAGTCTATTCTCCTACCATGGGAAAGAAAGTCACCCCTTTTTCATACTTGACTCCAGTAGATGAAGTTGCAATAGGATAAAATGATCTCATGAATGCAAGATTGGAGTGGCTTGCAAAACTTTGTTTGCAATTATGACAGTTTAGTCACGATCAATGAAGCAAACTCTAAAATTAAACCGTATTTACAAAGTGGATCAATGATGAGAACTAGAGAACAGATAATCTGGAAAAAGACATTTTTAATAACTATGAGAAAACCTACCATTTTCACCGTGTACCTAATTTTTTTTTTTTTTCTTGTATTTGGAGCGAGGAGATAGTGACAATCAAGCAAAAATCAATTCCAGTGAATCTATTTTATTTTTTACAAATATATCTGCGAGATTAATAATTGAAGATCGTTCAATTTTAAACTCTCGTCAGGAATATCAATCTAGATTTTAAATCCATAAAAATTGTTTTGATTCTTTTAATTATCTATGATAAATTATGAATGCCTTGCTATTACTAGTTCAAAATTACCAACCCAGGGCATAGTCCTTTCCATTTGGTAAGCCAAGAGACCTAAAAAAATGTATGTACTACATGATTACAATTGTTTATAATTTAACATTTAGTATGTATTTTTAAATGGCGGTAATATTTTTACATGTATGTATGTATATTTTACGTTTTAGGAACAAACAAGTGTAAGGATGCAAAGATAATCCGATTTTACTTATTTTAAATATTCTTACTAATTGCTTTTTAATTTTTAATTTTTTTTTTTTTTTTTTTTCATTGCAAGATCAATTGAGTTTATCATCAACAAAGGAGGTAAACGAACCAAAATTCTTATCGCAACCTTACTTTGTACTTGGCCTATGTGTGTGTGTGTGCTTTTAAGTAATGAAAGTACTTAATTATGTACTCATATTATGTTGAAGAGATTTTTAATTCAATGACCAGTGGATGTAATCTAGAGTCTCTACCCAGGAGAAAGTTCCTTTTGTGTTGAAATTTTATGCAATAAGTAATTTGCAATTGTTGGAACGAAGTGAAACTTGGAGGGGGCTTTTTAGGTGGGGGGGGGGAATTAAGGATGTTATTTAAAATTTAGAGAAAAGATCCTTTGGGCAAAGTGAAAAATAAATCCTCCAATATGTGTTTGAGGTTTCTATCAAGGAAAGTCATATCTATGAAAGCTGTCTTATTGTAAGAATTAAGATACCTCTCGAGAAAGTTCAATTTTAGAATGAGAGCTGCGTTTAGCTTTTTAAAACATCATTTCTGACTTTTTAACACTTTTTCAATTTGTTACTTTTTTCATATTTTGGGGATTGAAATTAATTGAACTTTTCTTGAACTTGATCAATTGATCTTATTTTCTGTCTTAAGTGTAGTGTAAAAAAAAACAAAGGATCTTTCTCTGTGTTGTTCTGTAGAGAACAAGCATATCTGAGCCCAGTGAGTCCTTGCTGCCTCTCATCTGACATTTTTTTAATGTAAGAAGTTCCATTAAACAACCTTGAATCTTGGATTTTCCACTGTTGCCTTGAGGAGTTTCTTTAAAGTATTGATACCCTGCAAATATGATACACCGCAACTCAAGAACCCTCTCCAAGATTTGCTATAATTTTTGCAGCAGTTGAAGTGATGAATAAGTCTCATGGCTTTTTCTAAAGTTCCTGGTTTTTCAACCATTTTTTTTGTTTTTATGAACCAAAAATAATTTATTAAGTAGTGTTTTGAGCTCTCAGCTACATCATGAATCGTCGTTTTGTTGTTAGAATGTACTTAGCCAATTTCAGAACTGTAGTTCTTTTTTCATTGAAGCAAGTGTACCAAGTAAAAAAAAGGTCATCAAAAATGTACACCATTTTTCTGTCAATTCCTGATAGTGTCATATTTTATTTTCTAAGACTTTCGCCGAAAGCAATTCATTTTATTTTCTAAGACTTTTGCTGGAAGCAATTCATTTGTAACGGAAGCTGTCAGTTTTCACGCTCTAATCCAAAATACATAAAAATGTTTCCATTATGTTCGATCTTATATTTTCTGAGAAGGTAGGACACACCTCTATCGTCTGAATGTACGATCAAATGTCTAATCTGAATGTATATGGATACTTAAGAGTCAAGAAACCCTCGATCTCCATCAACCGTTCAATCCTAGGGCAGAAAATAGCATTTCTAAAAAAAAAAAAATCGAAAATACTTCATTTCTTTTTCGTATTTCCAAGGAGCATTAATAATTAAATTGCCATCTGTCCAAAATTTGATCAAACCATTTCTTGTGCAATATTACAGACCAGTATTTTTTATGGCAAACTGAAACAGACTCAGTTTTTGAATACTTCTACAGTACCCAATATCGTTATACAACGCCCTACACATTTATTACAAAATGGGCTGCCTCTTTTTGTCACAAATAGGAAGAGGCTTTTATGCTACACCTAATGTATGTAGAGTTGGTTTGGAAGTGCCTCAAGGGATAAAGAGGGTAAAAAAATTGAAAAATTTGCCCAATGTAAATTATTATCAACAGCTGCTTCTAATTTGTTTTCTTTTTTTTTAAAGGAAAAAAGTTCCCTAAAGTGCTAGGCCTTCCAACACTCTGTGCAATTCGCACAGTAAAACCATTTCCACTTTAATGAGAACCACCATTGCCTACTTGCACTTATCTAACTAGTGTAAATCGTCGGTAACCATAGCAACCTTTTGTTTACACATTATGCAGTCCAAAACATCCCAGTGTTTCAACAGCTGTCACAATGGAAAAAAACTTGATTTACAGATTTTTGACATTCCTCAGAGAGTTTGCTGTATCATTTATAAGCTGTAACATACCGTTCATGAAGTTTTAGTTTTTAGCAAACCTTTCATGACCACATTTGGACTTTATTTCGTGCATATTGAGTTTGATCGTCTCCATATTCTTGAAAACCTGGATATATTTTTGGAAATGAAATTGGAAAGGTTGAAAGTTCTTTTTTTTCTTTTCTTGTTTTAATGAACAAGAAGAAGGAGGAAGAGGAGTAAATTCTGTTCATGCCAGTCCAGCACGAATTTTCTGTAAATTTTAATTCAACTTGGGTAATCCATTGTATGGAAGAAAAAGAACTTGCTACTGTGTACCTCTTCATTAATAACTTTGGTACGGTGTTTTCTTTCAAGTTTCAAAAACATTAGTGTGTGAATTGATACATAATGCAAACATGGATGTATTTTACTCTGCGTTGAGTGAGTTTAGAAGAAGAAAATTCGAGGATTGCATCAACCACTGCACTCAAATCCTGGAAAAAAGCCCGTATGATCAGGTAATATCCTCCATACACTATTTATGTAAAGTGACAAAGTTTTTAAAAGTCTGAGCGATGTGAATCAACATTAGTGATGTGGTTATTCGCAGTCTAATAAAAGTAATAACCATGTTTTCATCCAGTCTGAGGAATAGATTTCTTTATCTGGCGGATACATAGTACTCATTTGCTCCTTTGACATTAAGCAAGATTTGCCATATTGCCACGATAGACTTATTTTTTTATTTGCCATGTAAGAAGAATTATAATAAACAATAGTAGGTAAGAAATTTTGCGCCTTTATGTACTTTTAGTGTCTCTGTCGGAATCCTGTGATTTCATCGATTTATATGGCCCTTTGTAGGCAGCATGGACTTTAAAAATGAAGGCTTTAACAGCTCAAGTGATGGTCGATGATATCGAAGTGGAGGAAGAAGGTATCGCTGACTCAGTTTTAAACGAAACCATGGCTACAACTGCTCGCCCTGGAACATCGTTCAAGAACCCCACCGTTCTGCAATCTTTAGCTCTCGGTGCTCAGAGGTATGTATCAGAAGATATTAATTTCTATTTTTCTGCCCACGTTTGAGGTTGAAAGAACTTCGAGATTTTATGTGTGCTCTTGTAGAGGTTTTGGTGTCCATTTCACCTGTTCATGAGACAAATAGAGTCTACAAAGCACAGTCTTTTCACATTCCAAGCAATGGATATTTTTCTACAGAGTTCAATATGGCAACTCCGAACTCACTCCCCTGTAATGAATTGTGTAAAACAGGGCATAATTCTTTTCCCGCGAAGTTCCATCTTTTTTTTCAACCAATTGTGGCCCAAAAAGCTTTTTGATTCCAGTTTGTTGTTCCTTGTAAATTCACACATTACTTCTACAAACTGGGCTTTAAGCAATAACAAATAGTACAAATATCCTCTATTTTTCACTTCACTCAGTTTAGTTCTACCAGACGTGCACTTCATTCAGAATTCTTACTTTATTTCTAGACCAAAAACAAATACAGGACGGCCTGTGAGTGGAGTTGTTCGACCAGGAACCATCGGGAGCCGCGGCACCCTGGAACAAGCCCTGCGGACTCCAAGATCTGCCAGTTCAGCTCGACCAGCCACGGCCCAGTCTGGACGAGCAATTAGACTTGGAACTGCCTCAATGTTAACCCAAAGTGAGGGACCTTTCATTCAACTCTCACGACTAAACCTAGCCAAATATGCTTCAACCAAAGCTGTATCAAAACCATTATTTCAGTACATTTTCTATCATGAAAATGATATTTTGCGGGTGAGTTCTAGTAATACTTTTAGTTTTGAGATTAGTATTATAAGATTTACCTGCAATGCGCATAGTTTGTTATGCGAACAGCCTGGAAATTTAGTGCAAACTATAGTGGAAAGAAATTGGGTGTACATGGCTGGACACAAAATACTTTTATTCAATTGTTTTTCACTTGCTCTTTACCATTACAAAATAACTAACTCATAATATCATTATGGTTTTGAGGGAGCCAGTGCTAGGTACCTAATACAATAAAGTTGAAACTTACGTAAATAGTAGATTGTATTGTTAAATGTTGTTAAAAGCTATTGTTTAAAGATCTTTGTTATGTATTTCTTTGCTCTATGTCCTGACTGTGGCTAAAGTCGAAAAGCTTGGACAACTTTGAACAATAAAATATGCTGTTTGCATGAGTTTCAACTTAATTATTATATATTGCCGAACAAAGGCTACCTTGAAACAATAATCCTTAAAGTCCAACGACCATGTTAACTTTAAAAACTTCAAAAAAGACGTATGGAAAAAAAAAAACAAAAAACCGTAAATTATGTCTGGATACTGTACAAGACATGGTTTGTGCAGATCCTAGAATAAATCTAATATATTTTTGTGCTACCTCTTCATACTACAAATTTCATGTATTCAAAGCAGTTGGCAGGCTGCAAATGATGCACAAGTTGTAGTATTGTAATACCGTTTCACACTCATTTGCTCATGTTACAAAGACTGTCGCAACTGCTGAGAGACTGTGTGAAATTAGTTTAATATCCTCTTCCTTAGGCTATGGATCTTGTGGTTGAGGCCATGAAAGTATGCGATCAGAAAGATTGGTGGTGGAGATTACAACATGGTAAATGTTACTACATCTTTGGTATGATGCGAGACGCAGAGACAGAACTCAGGGCTGCCTTGAAGCTGCTACCAACCCTTGAAGTTTTCCTGTGGTTGACAAGAATTTACATCCGCCTGGATCAGCCTGTCACTGCGTTGGACCTTTGCCGCACTGCTCTACAAATCTTCAAGGATGAAGTTACGCTTTTGACAGATATTGCAAGGTATGACATTGAATAAAGTCAAACCAGTAGCATTCTATAGCCACCCATAAAAAGAGATAAAAACATTTTTCCTCAATTTTTATTCTATCATGAAAGCCCTATCTTTTAAGGCAAATTCCTCTGAATTTACAATTTTCATTTTTTTACTTGAGGATAGTACCTATTATTCCAGCAAAATGGCACCAGAACTTTTTTGTCCATACATTAGTAGTAAAAAATGGAAACAAAAATTTTTGTAAAATCAATTCTAATCATTATCGACATGCCTAGAAAGGGTGTCCACTGCATGGTTGAACAATTTAGAAGCCAAATTTAATACGAAGTACTTTTAGCACTCCAAAATTGCCCATGACATTATAGGCAATAGGGTTGTTGCATAGCTCCTCTTGGACTTCGGAAAAAATCCGTCTTGAGGAGTTGAAAATATACGGCTCAGCACCTCTTACATCTTTAACTACTGATAAGGCATTAAAACTGCATGATATGAAATGTGTGTTATCTCAACTGGCCACTCTGTCAATTAAAATAGCCAGAGGCCAAGTGTATTTTCCACATGCCTCTCTCCAAGTGTTTAACGCACAATTCTCTGTTTCCAGAATATTTGAGGGAATAAACAATATCCCACTATCTGTCAAGTATTATCGAGAAATATTACACCAAGATGCCATGAACGTAGAGGCAGTAGCCTGCATTGCTGTGCATTATTTTTACTCTGACCAACCAGAATTGGCTCTTCGATTTTACCGGTAAAATTGGACACTCACATTTTGCTTGCACCCTTCTTCCCTTTTTTGTTGTTTAATTAATTGGCACTTCTAGGGCAACAGTTAAATGCCTATTATGGTGAGCATCATGTGCCTATCATTTAAGTACATCTGGAAATATGTTCAAGTATTACACAATGCACAGTTTCCTTAAGTTGTTACCTCTCTGAATAACTGCAGTTCTTTAAACTTGGATCATCACATTCAACGATTCAACCTACAACGATTACAATCCTATCATGCAGTATGGTCACACTAAAGTGAAAATTCAGAAAGGCGATTTTCTTTTTCCAATGATCTTTCCGTATTTGTTCTCATTATTCTAACTTCAAGTTTCCCTATCCTCAGGCGTCTACTTCAAATGGGAGTCTATAATGCAGAACTCTTCAACAACCTAGGTCTCTGCTGCTTCTATGCCCAGCAGTATGACATGGTCGTGTCGTGTTTCGAGCGAGCACTCAGCCTAGCTGAAAATGAAAATGCTGCTGATGTTTGGTACAACATCAGTCATATCGCAATCGTGAGTCATTTTTCTTAAGACTGTTAATTCAGTTGCTGTGGTAGTGTTTTGGTGGTTTGGTGAGTGGGTTTTCGGTAGTGTTTCGATCCAAGTTTCACATTAAGCTGCATATTTATTTGCAGGGAGCTGTGATTCAGCGGCTGATCAAAAAATAATGCAAATTTGGGATGCAAATTACGAGATGGTTTCTCAACATAACTTCCTACAAAACACAATGAGCATATTCAAAAAATCCAAAATCATCTAATGAGAGAGCAATTAATTTTTATAATTTACAATGGAAGTTGAAAATCCCAAGCTCAAGATTAAAAACAAAAACAACTAAGCTCAGATCAGCCATCTAGATCTAGTTATTTATTCAGCAAATTAATGTTGAGGTTGGTTGCACGAAGATTATTTCATTCCTTTTATGTACAATTACCATTTTTTTTAACTTTTGAAGAGGAAATCAGCAACTCTCGGAGAGAAAATCAGCACACTGAATTATTACTCCAGTATGAAGTAGACTGAAATTAATTCAGTGCCTCAACCTGCTCGAGTAGACTTTTGATTTTTGCCAAACAGGAAGTTTTAATCGCCTCCCACAGAAAAAATTAATCTCTCCTTTATAAGTTGAATTCGAGACATTCTTTACTGTGTCGTTTGTAAAATTGTGATGATTACACATGTATGGAGATCGATGAGAAGGAAAACGTATTTTACAGTAGGAAAATGGTAGCCCTCGGCACAATCAAGCCAGAAGTATACTGGAGCTAGCTTCTAAGTAGTTGGTCGACTTTCTAAGAGCCTCAGTAAATCTGTCATCCTCTCTAACCTATTGAACCTTATGACAAAAATCAAAATAGCAGATCCTCTGTCGCACCCTAAAAGTAGGACAACTAAGTAGGATCCAAGATCAGTCTCACAATCAGTTGACAAATTTTCCCAAAGTCTTCTGATCAAAAGGGAAATTAGGATTAATGGATAAGTTTCAAATACTATTCATTTTTTACATAATGCTAAATATGCAGGGTTTTTTACATTCATTGTTTTGATAACCTATATTGAACTTGTTCCTACAAATTACACTGTGGCTTTGAATACTCTCGTTTTCTTCCTAAAGATATTACAAAATACATGTTAGGCCTTGCCCTCATGAGCACGGAACTTCAAGCGAACTTGTTTCAGGAACATAGTATGATTCAACTATAACTTGTTCCTCAAATTCCCCAGTTTGTGGAACTACTTTGCCCAAACTGCACTAGACAAGGCCTTGGATTGGTGTTGCAATGACTGAGGATTATTTTAAGGAGTATAACAAAAAGCCTTGTGGTTAAGAAACCAGAAATAAAGTTGAAAAAGTCTCAGTCTATTTGTCAGAAATAATGCGAAATTACAAGACGCTTCGCCTTATCTCTTGTAACATTACGTAACTATATGTAGATACCGGCAAACCTCTTGTGACATCATTTAAATGATGTCTCAGCCATTTAGCTCCAATAATCGGGAAATTTTCTTCGTAGGTTGACCTAGTTGATTTCAGATCCTTGTCAATAGATCAAACTGATTTTTTTTTTCCCAGGGTGTCTGTGATTTAGCCCTTGCAGAGCAATGCATACGATTAGCTTTGTCCATTGACTCCAGTCATGCAGCTGCTTGCAATAATCTTGCTGTGCTTGAATACCTCAATGAAAATACCTCAGTATCTTTCTCACTTCTGCAGGCTGCTTCTTCAGTTGCCCCATCCTTGTTTGAGCTCCACTTTAATCGTGCCTTACTCACGGAGATGGTAAGTTTTTATTTTGATCGTACTAACTGCGCAGACCTTGTTTTCCTACAGTAAAAGTCCCCATTTTTCATATTGTGCCTTCCATATGAATTATGTCAGGAGCATTGCGTAGAGATCGAGGGCTGCCTGACGTATCTAAAAAGCAGCGTAAGAGGGCAAGCGGGAATTCATGAAAGGGGATAGCAAGTGATGTAATTTGTGGACAGCCTCATTTGATTTTAATCAGCTGCTTCCCTTTGAGGAACGGGTTCAATGAAATGACTACCCAAAGTAAGTTTTCTCTCAATTTATTTCAGGATTTTTTTTAATTTTGCCATTGGAAATTTCTGATCCTATTCAGATCCTTCCAAATACGTTCAACTTCACCTCTGCTCGTGCAAACACAAATTGTCTAGTTTATTATTTTGGCTTGATGCTACCAGTTTGAGGCAGCGAATGAAATTATCGAGAAACAATCATCTACGGACTGTAAAACATGATCAGCTTTGCCCGAGACCTTCCTTTAATTTTGCGATTTTTCATATATGTAAATTTTTTATGTTATTATGTTACAGGTGGGCGACTATCATACAAGTTACACTGTTGTACAGAAATCTATAGAAGTTCATCCAGGCCATACAGACTCTCACAGACTGCTAAAAAATTTGAAAACTTTCTTCTCCTACCTATGAATTTACTCACACCGCAAGGTGTCTTCGGAACCTACGAATAACTTACAAAAACTATTCAAACTTGGCTATATTTGGAATACCAAACTTAACCACTAAATAGGGTAAGAACTCTTATACTCTGTCTAATGGATCCTTGATCAAGGGGGCAGCCAACAAAAATTGTGAGGCTGAACTCTTAAGAATGTTTCTTATTTCTCTGGTTTGTATCAAGCCTGTTTTTTAAATTATCCTCTTATCTATTTCATTATTTTAATTACCTCTGTGATAACTGTACTCTATCTTTTCTATGTTTTGTAAAGCGTTTCCCAGGAACCAAAGCAATACTTAAAGCCTAAAAATTGGAAGTTTTTAATAAACGCTGTAAAAAAAAAGAAAAAAAAGAAAAAAAAAAACATGAAGTCCTTGCCTTCTTCTATTCCTCACCATTTTTAGATCCATGTTTGCATGAATGTGTAAACAATCTTGGTTCGATATGCATAGGTGTATCTTTACAATTAGACTAAAGAGTACAAGAGAGATTGCAGTAGCTGTTGGTATCAATAGTACCAATGCAAGTTTAGATGACCCTAGGGACGTACTTTTGATTCGGTGTGTGTGTGAGGGTGTGTGTGTGTGAGTTTAGGTGCGCTCTTGCAGAGCCACTGAGCTCCTTTTTGTGAGGTCTCACTTGATACTTTTCTTGATGACCCTACAGCCATGTCCAAGAGACATATAAATATCGCCCATACATTAAACGTCTATTGCAGATGAAGAGTATTATAGTGTTCCAACATGCCAGTCGAAACATTTTGCATCATCAGCAAAACAAGCTGAACGTTTGGCACGTCTGTGCTGTCATCAGCGGTGATTTTTCAAATTGTGATAGACCATTAAAAAGCTTCAGGTACCTACTTCATGATTATTTTTGGTTTTTGCCAAAATCAATATAAAAGCAGAAGTGCATAAAAAAACCAATATATTCAAAATGTACCTACTTTTAACAATATATTAACACATTAGACAAGGATAGGTGAGGTTATTATTGCTGCTGTTCTTTTTTCTTATCCCGCCACCTTTCCTCGAACAAATCTGATCCAGTCATTCTTGCAAACTTCTTGGCTTGATCAGCAGTTAGCTGTTCTGCTGGACTTGGTTCTAGAGGGTTGCCAGTCTCGTCTAATTTTTTGTCCTGGAAATCATTGACTATTTTTCTTCTGTAGACAGCATTGAATAGATCCTTAGGAGTGAACTCTGACTGAATAACTTCAATTGTTGCGTACGATACGTATGGTTTTAACTGAAATGATAAAAATGTGAGGAAATTAATTAAATATGTGTGTGAAGTTAGTGATAAAAATGGGTTATGAGCTCTAAGATTCAAAACTTTGCTTTGAAAGTACTCCAACATTTATGTATGTTTTCATCCAAATAATGTTGAAAAAAATTGGAGATGAGGTCAGAGGGTTCTCTGACGGTTACATCTACATTTTTAACATTGTTGATTGCTGGGTACATCTTTCTCTTTTGCTTTCATGGGGCCTCAACAATTTTGTGGAAGAAAAATCCTTATCATAGTGAAAGTTCTGCTGGACTATTGAATATCTTAAGTACTATTTTAAAAACATTTGTTGTGGATAATGATAGCTTTTACAATTGAAAACTATGTTTCATTGAATTTGAATCATGAGTACACTAATACCGTATGGGTGAAAATTGAATAAACGAAAGAAACATATATCTCTGAACTGATTTCTATGAGAGACACCAGTATAGGCAAGTATTTCCAGTGGATGGACTCCGAAGAAAGATGATACATAGGTCGAGACTGATCAACCTGAAGGTAAATGGTAGGTGCATAACCAAAATTACTTTCCTTGTGAAAACAAAATACGTATTAGAGAAAGTGTGCATTTCTTTCTTTTACTACAATCAGTTCACAATGGTTTGAGCTCAAGGTAAAACGATTTAAACTGCACAATCTATAACAGACATTTAAATGCAAAAGTAGACAAACAATTTGGAAAATTGCCTTAAATAATTTTGACTCAGTCTGTGGAATCAAGCATACACAAGGATGTAATTGCTGCACAGCAAGCTGAACTCACCGTAAATCCAGTTAAATCAGGCACTATTATCTCAGCTTGTAGTTCTGGAATTTGAACTCGTTTCTTATCTGGACCAACAACAACGTAGTCTTTCTTCACACCAAACCCTAAAAAAAAAAGAATTAAATAGCAATTATTGCTTAGAACTTTAAATGAGTTAAAGAGAAAAAAGGAGTAAAAAAATAATACCTGATAAAGTTGGAAAACCATAAACACAGTTGAAATGATTAAAATTTGAGAACATCTTCGGTACAAGTAAGAATGCAAATTTTTTAAAATTTTATTCAGAAGCGGGGTTGCTAAATTTAAGGCCTTCAGATGTTGTGGAGTTAGGGATCCTATCTGTGCTTGTAAAACGGGCCAATTTGAAACAGCTGAGTCCAAGTCCACAGGGCAGGATCAACATTTTCAGCACCCAAGGGTGAATTTGGTTGGGGCCCTAAAATTAAGCGCTCTCACATGAAAACATAATTGCCAAAATGTTGCCATTTTAGTTATTTTAAGGTTCGATTTGCGATTTATTAATTTCATTATAGCGCTCCCAAACAATATTGGAAAAAACTAAAAACATGAGCTTGCATATTTTACACTGAAGAATGTAGTTAAGTTGTTGACTCATTGTTGCCACAATTGTTAGTTAGGCGTTACTATTCCTTAGCCCTCAAAATATGAATATGAAGTAACAAAAGGGACAAAGATAGATTCTATAAAACATGACAGGGATTTGGTCTACAATGGATGACCACCTAAAATTCAGTCTAGGGCTACATAATAGCTCATGCTTCGAATATCGAGACACACATCAAGGTTTTGTTTACGTCACCACTCCTCAATGGTGTCATCTGTCTGCATGTGTTAACCTATTGAGTGATACTAATTTAGAGCTCATCAGAGATTAACATTTGTCTCAACATGCAATGCGTAAGCTCTAAACTGCGATGAATGGCGCTCAGGGACCAGGATAAAATGCGTCCCAATGCTTTGAGGTCAAACACATTCCTTTGCATTCTGGATAAAAAAAATCCTTACATGATTCGAAAAAACTAGATACTTACGAAATGGCCAAATATCAGGATGTGGATTTTCTTCCTGTCTTTTACGAAACGCCTCTGAGCCTCTATGGGGAAGGACGAACTTCCTAAAATTCTTTTTACTATGCAGGACACTGGAGTGAGAGATCGATCTATTCAACTGGATTTGAGGACGAAGGCATACTGTAAGTAACTTCTCCATCACTGATTAGACTTAACCGAAGGCAAAATAACCGGCTAGAAGAGTGTTAAGTAAAGTGATTCGATGAGACTTTCAGATTTTTCATTTATTTACTAAAACACCTGGGTTGACAATCGGCTTACAAAAATCCGAGATAACATCCTTGTTGAAAATAGTTAAAACATGAAGACACAAGCCGAGATGAGAGCAAAGATATTGGATAAGAGTGAAAAAAGTGCGGAAAGCACGAGCAGAAAAATGATAAAATAAAATCTTTACCAATAGACCAATACACAGGTTATGTTATGACTTTCATGTTCCCAGAGGCGTTTGAGTTTAGCAGAGATTCCTTCTTGGCTTAGAAGGTTAGGGATGACAAAAATCCTGCCGCAGATCATCAGTAAGCAAGAGCGTTTCACCGATGCGTCTCTACTCTCAGCTCTAGTGGAGAAAGAAAGAACTTTATTTGCCTTATGTACTGGCAAATTCGCCATCTCAATGCCAATCGGCGTAGCTAAGCGGTAAGGCACTCGCCCGATAACCCGAGGGTTCACGGTTCGCGCCCTCGCGGTGAAAATATTTTAATGCCTTGATCATATTTATAAATGCCGCGTAGGGCATCGCAGGGTTATTTTTTCCAAAAAATCTGAGTGAGGATTGCATTTTGATTGAAACGTAATCGAAAAGGGCTCCTCTTGCTTCAGAGAAACTTCTGAACCCAAGGTCCAGGGCAGAGTTAAGAAATTTCATGAAAGATTACAAAAAGAAATTTCATAAGGAAATTTCAAGAAATTTTATGAGGAAATTTCATGAAATTTCTTGTGAAATTTCATGAAATTTCATGAAATTTCTTGTGAAATTTCAAGAATTTCATACGATGAAATTCCTTTAGCAACTCTGGTCCAGGGTCCCTGTATGAGGGTATACAGTAGTATACAGGGGCCGTCNTTGCACTTCGTAGCTGCCCCGCAGTTTCATGAATATCACTTAACCTATTCAATGAGTCCTTCCAGAGTCGAATCAAATTCAATGTATTTTCTGTGTGTCTAAATGTCTATCCAGCCATACCAATACCATGACACTTCCATTGTGCTTCAAGACCTCAAGTGTGGGCATTTTAGTGCCGGTCTAGTCACATAATCGTGAATATCTGACGATGAATTACTATTCCCAACTGCCTTAATCTATTTCTGCCATAGCTTGAAGCCTTTGAGATGGCCTCATCCAGCAGTGTTGGTGGTCCAGCCTGCACCTCAGCGGAAACATCTGAAGAAGCCATGAGGAGGTAAGTGCCTTACTCCTCACTTATTATTTTTGGCCTCCTCGTACTGTCAATTATTCATATCCTCATGCTGGAGAGAAACTAGCTTTCATCAAAGTCTCTACCACCGCTTCTTTTTCTCTGCTACCAGGAATGAGGATACCATGCAAGGGAACTGCAGAAAGTAGAAGCATTGCCCAGTGCACATTCATGAATAGTAAATGCATTCTTAATATTCATAATTGCTCCCAGCACAGATAGCTCTTACTGCATATTTTGACACTCATGGTCAAGAATCTTTCTGTTGGCTCCCAGAAAATTAGTCCAGTAGTTTCTATGATTTGTAATCTTTAAAGCTTTGAGTTTCGCATCGAATCGGTATGCCAGAGTAAACTTTGCCTACACCATCTGGTACTTCTATTTACTTAATGATGACAGAGACCTATCGTAATCTAAAGATACATTTGAATGTTCTACGAAATCATCAAACTCTCTTACATGAACACACCAGTGGCATGGCGTGCTTTGTGTTGTATCGATTGATCTGCCATTTAAACCTATGGGAAAGGATATTTAGTGATGAACAGGGTGTTCTCAATAAACATCTTAAAATCGATTCTTTACCACAGCTTCAAATGCGGAAATGTGGATAATCGATCATTTACTTACTCTTATTTTATGTTGTAGGTTCAAGTTCTACGCTCAGAGAAAATTTGCTCAAGGAATGTCATCGCCTTCAATAACAAGTGAAGAGATGGCTAAAACCAATGATAGCTCAACTGCCACTAATTCCAAAGCTGCACCATTATCATCGGAGGAAGTTCCAGAAGCAACACATGTGTTACCAGTCAAAAGGCCAAACACAGAGGATTTTTTAACATTCCTTTGTTTTCGAAGTGAGTACCTAATTCACTTACCAATCTTCCTATTATCAGGTACAAATGAGTATATAATTACCCATAAAATCCTAGACGCAAGATGTTTTAGTTACAAAATTAGTAGCTCTAACTTGAAGTAGATTTCGAAAAATCACCAAACAGAAAAATTAGGAATTTTTTTTTGAGAGGAGGGGGAGAATTTTTAGGGGTCACATTCGCGTAGAGTCTTCATTTTATAAGCGCCACGACCAATTTCTCAGGCGCACTTGGCGCTTGTGAGTTTCGAACACTGGTTTCAGATCGCTTTTTTCTTTTGCTGTATGACAGAATAGAGAATTTCATACAACCAAAGTGGCAAAGTAATCTGAAATGGGCTCTAGCGGCTAGAACTGTTAAAGCACCAATGGCTAATATCATTCTGGTTCAAGTTGCTTAGGAGGTGAAATACAACAGGTTTTGCTGGTCAAATGGCACTACCTGCTCTTGTACCCCCTTTTAAGACTGATCTATGTGTTTTGCATCCAAAAAAACTGGAAAATTAACTGAAGAGTCTGAGAAATTTAATTTTTTTAAACTGCAATGGGTGACGAAATGAATCTGTAGTGATGTCCGACTTCAAAAGCATAGAACCATTAGGAATAGCCCTATGAGACACCTAAAAAAATTAGTTTCCAACCCTTTCAGACACAAAACAAATGGATCTGGGGGCTGATTATTGAAATTGATAGACAAAGAAGACATAGGGAGTATGGAGCGATCCTATTGGTGAAAGCAGGTGATTACAATGGACAGAGGAGGTAGGTAATAGACTAACAGCAACCTATGAGAAACCCCATCGTTAGTCCATCATTTTCTTCCTTAGTCTACAGGAACCATTCATTTCAACCAGTAGGATTGCTCCATACTCCCTATGTCTTCTTTGTCAATCGCTTTGTCTACCAATTTCAATTATCAGTTTTACTTGGAGGTATATAATGAGCGGATTATGCTATTTGATTGGCAATGTGTTGTTTTCAGCCATAAAGGTGTCAAAGTGTTTATCTTAGTTTACCTATGTAATTTTGATTGCTTAATCCAAAACTGATCTTAGTTTTCTCTCTCATGCACCAATACTCCAATAGGTACATTGAATTTCCCTTTGAAAACCCTGTTTTTCAGAATACTTCAATTTTCCAGCAAATTGGTTAGCAGATGTACGGAGAAAAAAACCAAGGTCATCTTCTGTGTCAGCAATGAAATTTTCCATCAAACCCCCTTTGTTTTTAAGCACAGTTTTTGAAAACCTGTGGTATTTTTTACATTTTCTTTTGAAAGAAACCAAGTTTAACAGTTTCTTCCCCTGTACCTCCGCATAAATCACTTTAACAGCAAATGCCCTCAATAGACCGAACTTTTTTGTTTGAGCTGCTCTGATTGCTTACTCACTTTTTTGTGACTGCTAGCTATCTACTGATATGGTTTGTCTTCATTTTACAATTGTTGTAAATTTCTTTTCTTTTCAGGAACAAGTATTTTACCCCCGAGTTTAGATTTTTTCAATACTGCCTGTACCTATGAGACTGATTCCCCCTCAATCAATGATGATAAGACTTCTAATCATAGCACTAGTAGAAACCCATCGGTAAGAAATCACTTTTTCTTTCTAACTTACGAATTATTAATGAAGATGAACCTACTTTACTGTCCATATCTTTTTCAGTTTCCATGCTATTTTCAGTTTTGCTCTTAGGTGTGAAATCACTGTAGCACACATTGTTTTCTAACCTTAATACCTACCCTTTTTGAAGTTGGAAGCTCAAAAATGCGCACATTTTTTACATAGATTGTGAAGTTAGAATGAATTTCATACTTTTTCTGGTGTGATCATCATGATTTTTGAGTCATTCATTTATGTTGGAGCAATGGAGAAAAAAATAAATTATTATTATTATCATTCGTTGTGGTGAACAACTTCTTTTCACTCAAACAAAACTTTACAATAGATCCATCGTAGAATGGCAAAATTTGCTTCTAGGCAGTCAACAAGACTGTAATTAATTATTTGAACAATTGTCAAATTTAAATGTATTTATTTATTTTCATACAAACAGGCTAAAAAGCCTATACAAGAAAGAACCCCGAAAGGTCCAAATTAAAAATGTGCCAAGACAGGGGTGAAGGTAAAATAAGAGTAATTTCTCAAGGACAACAACGATCTAACAAGATGCTGAGAGGGAAAAGAGGAACTTAATCAAGGTGATCCTCAGTTACAAGAAAGAATCAGGCCCTTCTTAGCATATTTAAAGCAAGTAACATCTGAAATTGAGACACCTAAATTGAGAAAATAATTCTATGTATGATATCTATTCAACCCGTTTTTTGCTATAGAGTTTTGTAACTTATCATTGACTTCATAAAGGAGGTATTCTCTTTTACAGATTTCTAACTGCCCAACCAAGCAGGGTCCTGTTGCAATGACAAAAAAATCCCTAAAATCAGGAAAGCAATCTGCTAAGAACACCATCGAACGGCGAAAATTAGCCCAGAAAGGTAAAATATGGCAACATTTAAATTTTATGTACTCTGAAATTCTGGTGAAAGCATCTCCTCATTCATTTTCAAATTTGCGCCCTACGATTGCAGAGACTGCTTGTTTGAGAAATGTCAAATACTGTTTAACAACATTGAATAATGTGCAAATGAGGAAACCAAACCTTTCTGTTTGATCCAAACAGCACTAATAGTATCAACCATTACCCATCTTTTGAGGTACATCTTGCATCTTTTAATGTGTAATAATCAATTCTGAGCTGCTAACAATATGCAAGTAAGAAAACCGAACCTTTTTGTCTGATCAAAACAGCATTTACAGTATCAACTATTCCCCATGTTATAAGGAATATTTTGCTCCTTTTTTTTAGGTGTAATAATTAATTCTAAGCTCAATACTATCAATCTCTGAAATGATTATATGACTCATAAAAATAGACATCATGTACTGTTCTCTATTGTTATCAATACTTTTTTAGTTTTTATCCCTATCTATGTATTAATTTTTTTCTTCTCTATTTTAATCTATGTTACAGTTAAAGTCAAACATTTGAAAACTGCTAATGTGAATATTCGTTTAAAAAAATGGATGCTGAAGAAAGATAAAAAATTGAAGGAATTAAAAAAATCAAATGCACAACAAAGCAAATCAAAGAAAAAGAGTAATGAAGCTATTCAAAATAAAGAAAATGCCAAGGCAAATAATTGGAAACAAAAGAAAAATCAAATTTTGGTGAAACAAATCACCAAGACCAAGAAAGGAGTACATTTTAAGTAAGTATCTTTTTTTATGTTCGGATTACCCATCATAATTTTCCCTCTGTATCTCAGTTTGAAAGTTTAGCCTACCTATTTACTCCAAATCATCCCCAGTTATACCAATTTATCATTGTTCATCCTAAATTTGCAGGGTTCACCCAGATAAGTCAAAATTTTGTGTATTAAGGTACCCCCATCTATAAAGAAACTCAGGTTCCTATGTATAATAAAGACTCATGACATCATCTGAGCTGTGATCATGTAATCCCTAACTTGTATTCCTATTTATAATAATAGCCCATTTCCCCCATTAAAGGCAAGTGCCCTCCACCTCTTCAATAGGAGAGGTTAGTTTGAGAGGTTTGGTTTAGTTGAGTTTAGTTCGTTGAGTTTTGATTCCAAGTTGTATCAGGCTCTCTGTTCGACGCAATTCTTTTCCAGCTTCCTCCTGCTCTGTCCTTGAATTCTTCTGCCCATCTTATTTTGTGCCTTCCACTTTTCTTTTTCTGTTTGGGAGTCCAACTTCATCGCTGTTAGCGATGCTGGCTTGAAACATCCCGTTCCTCTTCTAATCTCTTCATTCTTGATCTTGTCCATTCTCTTGATGTTACATACACTCCTCAGCATTTGTATCTGTGTGGTATTCCTATATTTATTTATACTAAACAATTTTAATCTAGGACGATGTATTATCGCTGATATTCACTATCGATTCTAATTTATCTCAATTGTTTTTATATTATCCTGATTTAGTCCCAATATTTCAGATTTATCCAGATTTGACCCAATTATATGACGAAAATAATTTCTCTCTCTTCGTAGATCATGAACTTAAAATCTTTATGTTTTTTAATTTTGTTTTAATGCTTTCTTTCCTCACTGTGAAACTTAATATCTTGCAAAATATTTCAGTTCTTCCACAAAGAAAAAATCCCTAAGTTTGCGGAAAGGCTTGCGTAGCAGTGGTAGTTTATCAAGTATCTTGGAAAATTCAGCAATCAAAGGAAAACCGCTTTTAATGCTTCGAAGAAATAGATCTAAAATTATCAAAGGTTTGTACTCTTGTTGTTTTTCTCTTTTGAACCATTTTACCCCTCGGGCCCTCACTTGTATCACTTGAATCCAGACCAAAAACCAAAACTTTATACCTATACGTAGTCATTGCAGTGATATCCTATGAAACAAATTTAGGCCCCTGTACTATGTTTACTGTTGAAAAGGAACTCTACAGCTCAAAGTTAAGTATCGTTTATAGTGTACTCTTGTTGTTAGAATGAGTAGTTCCAAATCTCTCAGTAAAATTATTTTTCTATTTGTAAAATAACTTGCAATTTGCGGTTGACCAAAATGAACCTTAAGCTTAGAGACTTGATATTCTGGGATCTGCCTTTTTGACTCTTTGGAACAGACTAGAGTCCCTTTATAGTGAGAGTCAAGACAAATGTGAATCCATTTCTGATTGGTTCCCGTATTTTAGGCCTTCACAGTGTCACAAACGGGAATAAAGATTACATTTTCACCGATTGCAAAGATTATAATCTGGAATGGACCAGGGAATTACGGGTTCGGCAAGGAACAAACGGAATGAGAGAAGGAACGGAGGAAGGAATTTAAGAATGGGCCGATCAAAGATTACAAAGAACGATCAATTTCTGTAATCTTTATTTCCCCTTGTGACTCCATGAGGGGTGTTGTCTTGACTCTCAGTATAAAGGGACTCTAGAACAGACCATGTGCAAATCATGCCAAAACTGCTAATGTCTAGTGTCCTTTGTTTTTAATTACTCCGTTCCAACTAGATAGATAGAACAAGAACAAGAAACAACATAGCGGAACAAGAAAAAACATAAGGAATCAGATCCAAAACATAAATAAGCAAAATATAGAGAAACAAAGAGATAAATAGAACCACTCTAACTTTTATTTTATTATAAAGATAAAAATTGATAAATTCTTTAGTTAGAAAAGATGATAGATAAATGTACAAACAAGTACTGTGTAGAAGAATTTAAACACCAGAATTCGGAAACGCTAAAACAAAAATTACTACGACATTGGAGGATCCTTTTATACAGTCTACTCTTTTAATAATTAGCTTCTGAACACTTTTCATCCCACAATTTAAACGCTTGCACAGCTCTTTAGCAGTTTGGGGCTGTCCATCAATACATTGAGCTTTTTGTAGGGGTGTCTTACAAGGGAGAGAGGAGAAGTAGAGTTCAGCCTCACCTTTTTCAATAGTGGTCCATTTTACAGAGGTGATAAAAGAGCAACAGTTCTGATGGTTTTTCATGTTTAAGTTTTTTCCCTTGAGAGTAGAAGGAGGGGGGGCTATCTAGCCGTATGTAAGTTTTTAGGGGGGTTTAGAGTTGCCTAACAGGTGCTTTACAAGGGAAAAAGGAAAGCCAAAAATCGGAGAAAAGTGCCCTTGGTAATTTATGGATAGCCCAAAATTTTCTCAAAATCAGATAATAGAGATTAGTGGTTTTTGAACGAAGCAGTTCATTTGAAGCTCTCTTTTAACATTTTTTTATTCCAATCTCTGGCAGCTGAAGAAAAAATTCTCCATAAGAAGAAATGTATGAGGAAAGATGACATATCGGCAGATTCTCCACCAAGCAAAAAATCACGCCTCACGGAAACCCAGCCAGAAAATACAGCTGTTGAAAATGCAAAAGTGTCATCTTCTCATGTGTAAGTTAAACCATTTTTATGTTTCAATCAATTAACCTAACATGTTAAGGGAGGAGACCTATAGTTCGTTAATTTTGGGATTGATGCTCAGGACTTGCGGGCCATATTGGAGTGAAGTGCATGTAAATTGCTTAGTTACACTGTCCCTCATCTCTGAATTGATGTATATTTGTGTGTGACTAAGCTTAGTAAGATTTTGTGAGTTGTCTGCGGCAGATGCTAAATTTTTTCTTTACAAAATAATTGTCTTCATTTTCAGAGTCTTTGCTTTTCAACCATAAAGAAGCTCAAGTAGGTTCAATGTCCACCTTAATTTCCATGTCAAGCATCTGAATCAAAGACATTGAATCATGTAAACCGTGCATTCTGTGTTATGGAAGGCGAGACGATTTTTAAAAATTCGCATGCCAATGAGTGTTGGCACCGACCCGCATCGATGAGTTCGTGTGTCCCAATGGCGCACATCTGTGCATGCGCAGTAGCGGCTCCAGTGAATTTCTGTCGGATTGTGAGGCTTTTTTTCTCGGTTATTAATTAGTTCAAAAAAATTAAACTATTCGGTTATAAAATTATATGTTCCAAAACTTATCTTCCTAGGAATTTCGTTTAAAAATGGGCTCTAAACGAGATATTCGTGAAAAACTGAGCGTGCAAATGAATTCTCCATTGCCTCTCTGCAGTCTCTTCAAGTGTTTGGGACACATGCTCTCTCCCCTTCCCTGCCCGCCCATCATGGGGCTCTGAGAGACTTGTCTTGCCCTGCCTGTACTAAACCAAGCCGGACGCACGGTCTGTGAGATTCAATGTCTTTGATCTGAGTTCATTTTTATTATCCAAAAAATAGAAAACCTTGGAAAAAAAAAATTGGAGAAACTCATCATTCCGTTGGTAACACTTGAAGAACAAAAATATTAAGGATGAGCTGTATGAGCATTGTCCTGTTGCTCCTCTAGATGCATTCTCTGGAGGCATCAGGTCAACTGTTGCTTACCCGATGGGTACCGTTGAGAGTTTGACGATCGTTCTTGAAGACTTGCTGACTTCTCGCTAATTGCCCGATGACTGTCATGGCGGGCCATCGGCCAACGCAATTGCCCAGCACCTTTCAAAGGTGATGGGCAAGGCCGCTGACCGTTGAGATAACCTCAATGTCTTAAGTATTCGCATTCCTGCAATCCCGCCATCATTTATCGTGTCTCGTAACTTGCCTTTTAATTTAAATAAAATGTAGATTCTTTTTAAATTTGACCTAGTAACCCTCAGGGTTGATTATCTCCGAGAACAATACCTAAAATGATGTAAACCATAACACGCTCCTAAAGTAAACAAAAACAAAACCTGAGCCGCCATGACAGTCACATGACGAAAGTTAGTCATCGGGCAATTCATGAAAAATCAGCAACGTATTTCCTCTGATGCTTCCAGAGAACGCATCTCTCCTCAAGCCTAGAAAAACGGTTTTAAGGGCTACCCTTAGTTTATTTTTCATTAAGAAAGTGGGTCCATATTGAGAATATCAGTCTAGCTGTATTGTTTTGTCCTAGTTCATGAAACTTACTCATCTTCAAATGAAAAGATTGATCAAGTTTATTCAATACTTTAAAATCAACAAGTGTCTTCTTTACCTTTGATTCTTGTTTTCCTGTTTATCAGATCTTCTCGCCCATCTCGAAAAACAAAAGAAGCTGCTGCCTTATTCATGGAAATGCTCGGAAAAGAATTTCGCTGTCCAAACCAAAGCAAGAAGAAAAAAGATGATGACACAATGTCTGTCGAAAGTTTTCCAGAACTTCCTTCAGCTAAAGAAAATGGTATGTTGAATATAGGTATTTTTTGTACTTTGTTAGAAAACAACTACGAAAGTTCCTCAAATGTGAAGTATGGAAGCTCCCTTGCTCCAATATCTAAAACCCTTTAAAACTGGTAGAGGGTTTTATGCTTGGAGAGGAATTGTAAGACCATAATATGTAGATGGATATAAACCATAATGGGTCCATTAAACAGAAAAGGGCACAAAAGAGTATTTTGATGTGTAATCATATTAATAAAATTGTCATAGGTATCTCTAAGTTTCTGTGAAAACTTCAGGAGTACTTTTTATATGAAGAATATTCATCATCCAATTGAACAAAGGTCATAATCATCTCTTCTTTCCCTCCCCTCACCTCTTGCCCTTTTGATTTCAATGAAATATCTGATTTTATTTCATTCTTCACTTAATTAAGCAGCTGTGCAGTGTGTATTTATCAACTACCCCCTGCACTTTGCCCTTAGCCCATTAGCGTACTGGAATTTGCACCTAGTAAAATGAGCAACCAGGAGGGCAACAGAATACTCTTGAATGGTCTTTGAAACAATATCTATGGTGCATTCATTGGGCAATTGGATGTACACAACGGAAAGAACCGCCCAGCTACTGGGCGAGTTCTTTCGCCCATGCACAGTTGTCCCGGGTTTGCGATGTGCACACCATGTGTGCGAATGACTGCCTAGCAACTGAACTAGTTAATTGGTCAATGCACAGTTGTTCCTGGACAGCGCTGTATACTTGTCTGCGCATCAGAATTGGTTAATGCAATCTGGAACCTAAATTATCTTAATTTCTTTTTAGCAGAATTGCTTTTATTTTTTTATTCATGAAGACACAAACGACACATTAAGTGAACCTGTGTATAAACCATGCTCTAATTGTTATAGGCTTTGATGGAAACTTATGTGCGTAATAATATTGCTGAATGTAAAGTGCATCATGTTTTTCAGCCATTCACACTCGGAATATTGGTGTGGGTGATATGCAGACACTTATGATGATTTGTTCAATTGACAAATAATCCTTTTTTGCTATCTTTTGGTATCACATATTACCTTCTGTAAGGTGAGAAAAAGGGTAGATTGAATATGACCAGTTACAGTTTTCGATATTTAATAAATACTTGGGTAATGCTTCATTATGAATTTAACCTATTTTCACGTATCAATTATTATAATTTTTTTCTTCTTTCTCCCCGTTTTTCAGAGCAAATCGAAAAAGAAATAAAGGAGCAAGCCAAGAAGGTATTACTCACTTCTAAAAAACCTCTCATGAAAATTTCAACATCTTCAAGCCAGAAGAAAAAAAATGGAAACCTCAGGTCTCAGAAAGTTGAAACTCGCTCAAAGACTCTTCATAGAAATACTTTGTCAGTTGCAAAGAAGAAAAACCTTGCAAAAATGAAGAAACAATCAAAACCTCTAGGTTCAAAAAACAAAGGCATGGTGAGGACCTTGTCTTTAAGAACAAAAGTAATATCCAAGGCCAAGAAAGCAGGAAAAAAACCAGCAAAATCTGGTTTGAGGCAACGCACTGCAAGCCTGGACGATATTGTCTCAGATGCATGTAAACTTGAACAGAACAAGAGCACTTCAAAACCGTTCAAACCTCTTCTAACATGGCATGAAACTTTCCTTAAGTCAGTTGCAGAAACGGTCAAAGGTGGCCGTCGATCAACATCAAGAATGAGTGAAAGTGCTGACTCAGTGGGTGCTAAGCAAGTGCATGGCTCCTCCGAATTCAGAGTTGAAAAGCAAATTAATGACAAAACAATTGAAAAGACCTCAAAAATATTTAGCAAAGCAAAGACACCTGTTGGAGAAGAAGAAAAAGCAGTTTCAACTGATAATAAAGAAAAACTTAAATCTTCAGCTCAGGAGGCAAAAAAGGCAAAAAATATATCAAAGGTCAAAGAAACATCTCAAGACAGCAACGACAGGTCCCAGTTGTTGGTTCCAGACATGAAGAAGGTATCTGAAGCATCCAAGAGTAAAACAAAATCCAGAGTTGAGGAAAAAGTTTCCAAGACTGAAATAATTTTAAATGAACCTAGAAAAATAGGAACAAGAAGATCCGCTGACTCTCATACAAAGGGTTTGAAGAACTGTCATATCACTTCAAAAAGTGTTAATTTGTCTGTTCAATCAGACAAAAAGAAACCAGTCATAAATAATCCCCCTACAAAGTCCAATGATGCAGCTGAAAAATCAAAATTTGTAACAAGAACACAAAAAATCAAAGATTTAAAAGCAGAAGTTGCACTGAAGCCCAATGAAGCTTTGAAGCCTGTCACAAGAAATCATCCTTTGATAATAAGTGCTACAACCAGAGCCACCCGTCTTTCTAATTCTGCCACCAAATTAGATGATATACATGCAGGAAGTGTCAACCCAGTCAAATCAAAAAAATCAACTGACGAAATTGTTAAAAAGAGAGAGCTTCGAAACTCAGTGGATTCAGATGGACCTATGAAATGTAAAGTTGTTGCAGATAAGACCCATTGTTCTGTCAATAATCAGAAGAGTTTACCCTCCACAGAAACTTCGAAGTTGAAGGAAAATTCTGTAGCAGGCAAAAAACCTATTTCTTCAATCACTAATAAATCGAACATTTCAGCTCTGGGACAGAAATCAAGCACTTATTCCACTGTTGGAAAAAAACCAATTTCTAAAATCTTGGAAGCGTTAGAATCGTCTGAAGATCCTCCTGTGAGAAAAAGCAAAGAGGAAAACGAAGAGTCTGAAAGCTCTGAAAAGCCTTTTTTTAGAGATCCAAATAATCCAGCAAATGAAAATACATTTCAAAGGCCAGTCAAAGCACTCAACAAGTTAATAAGAAAAAAAGTTTTGAAGTCAAAAGTCTGTCTCAAGAACAAGAGTTTAAAAAAAAAGTTGTTAGAAAATGGAATAGCTTCGGCAAAAAATGAAGCAAATGTCCTGCATGGAATAACTTCTGAGCCTATTGCTGTAGTGAAATCTTCTCGTAAAAATTCAAAAAAGAAAGGAACTCCGAAAAAGCGTCTTTCGGGAATCCCGAATGCAGCCTTGAATCAAGACACGCCAAAAAGTGTTGAAATCTGCACTTTAAAATCGTATGATGATCTGTTCAATGAAATGGCGGCAAATTTTAGTTCCTGTCTACCAGAAAATCCTATTCCATCTCTTCCTAATGATAAATTTCCTGTAGATGTAGATGTTGATTTAGATGAAAATGTCAAAGGATTTGAAGGGAAGAAGTTATTTTCATTTGATCCCATTCTTGATTATAAATTGCTTGCCTCAAATATAAACAAAGAGAATGAATCTAAAATCTCTGTTGTAACGGAATCTAATGTTTTGCCACAAAATTCTGACAAAGATTTTTTACATCTGTCCATCTCGAGTATGAAAGACAAAGATTGCAAAAAGAAGATTGGCATTAGCTGTTCATCGGGCTGTGATATTTTAGAAATAAATGCCGATCAGACCAATGCTATGAAAAAAGACGATAATAGAGAAAACTTGAAGCAAGATTTGACAGAGAATAAAAAATTAAAAATCGATGTTAAAAATAGCAGAGAGAAATGTATCATTGAAAGAGGAGGTGTTCAAGATCCCGTACTGAATTTGAACGTTTTTAATCAAAATGAAAGTGACGATTGTAATGAATCAAATTCTACAAAAGATGTGAGCCTTAAAAAAGATTTCTCTGCTGCTCCAAATACTTCTACCACAGTGACTATTCTGCACAAATCAGATCTTTTAGATTCAAATGCTGTCCCAAAACTAAAATGTAATAAAAATCCAGCCCATTTGAACGATTTGAAAATTCAAAATTTGAAAAATCAAAATGAATTAAGGGATGGCACAAAAGAAAAAATTTCAACCTTTCGCTTTCAAAGTAAAACTGAAAGCAAGCTTAACGATCCAGAAAGTGCAAAAGAAAACAGTGTAATCAAATCCCAAGAAATATCGCAATCTCCCACTTTAAATATTTCTTTGAGATCAAAAAAAAGTCTTGTGAAGTCGGGTGATCATGTTTTAGAGAGCGGAAGCACAAAGAAAAGTACAAATTCTGTTTTTTGTAATAATGATATAGCTCAAAGCAGAAGCAACAATGAACCTGTGTCATCTCTGGTCCCATCAACTAAAAGAAGCACGAATATTGTTGGCAAGTTTCAAAAGCAATCTAGTTCGGATTCCCATGTGAATATGGATGAAAAGTGTGTTGAAATGAATTTAAATTTTTCTTCCGGTGATTCCTCAACAATAGTCAACACAAGCACCTCTAACAAAATAGAAAAATCTGTTAATGTCTCTAAAGGGCAGCCGAACGAAAGCATCTGTGATAATAAAATGCAAAATAGTTCTACTTCTAAGATTTTTTCAAAAGAACGCAACTCGAACATTGCTGGGAAAACGCTAACTAGATCGCTTAGTAGCGCTTCCTCTCTGCTGAAAATGAACTCCGAAACAATTTCTTCTAAATCAACCTCGGAGATCATTTCAACTGAAGATAACAAGAAAACTGGTGCCAGAGTTGAAAAGCAATCTATGAATCTTAAAAGCTCTCTGTCGAAAGTTGGCGCTGGTGGCTCTGAAAATAGCTCCATCCCCACAGCCTCATTAAAAGCAAATAATACAACCGTAATTGAGAAAGGTTTAAAAACATCCGCAGATGTTTCAAAAGTACAGCTAAATCAGTGTGTTAAAGTCTGTGTTGTGGATGTACTAAAAGGAAAAGGACGAATATCACAGGCTGAACTAAAATCAGTCATTAACCAACCAATCAAAAAGCCTGGCGTCACACCAGAATATCCGCCATCTGAAAATTTAGTAATAAAGAAACAAGCCTCTTCCAACAACTCAAGAACATCGGAAAAATGCTGGAAACGATTACCTGAGGCTGTCATTAGTATCCCAAAGATTGCCATGGATAAAAATGCTTGGATTGCAAAGCATACTGTAAATCCTCCAACTTGCAAGGAGAGTGAAATGAATCCTGACTGTTTGCATCTGAATGAAGCAATCAGAAATTCATCAAAACCGACCAGGAAGTCAGCAAAGGAACCTGGTTCAAAAGTATTGCTGCCTTCAGAAACCATAAACTCATCAAATTGCAGGGCCAATGGAGACTCAACGGTTTTTAAACCGGAGACGGAGACAGACAAAATTTATGAATTTGACAATGAAGTTTCAATCCCCAAAGAATCTTACAAAGACTTTGTCAGAACTGTTAAGAAGTCAGATGGTAAGAAAATTTCTGACAACATGCCTCCTTCTGAAGCAGAATCTGTCATCAAAAATGTAGAAGTGCCATCTAGCCGCGCCGGATCTCATTTGATTATTCCTGTTTGTGTGCAAAAAGTTCTCTCCAAACCAACTTACAGAGAGTTAAAAAGACCCTCGCATACTTTACCAGCAAAAGAAAAAGAAAAGAAAACACGCACAGATTTCAGCTCTAAAAATCAAGTTTATTGTGACCAAGAATCAAACCATATCTTGACAGAAGGAGATGGAAGTCTTAGTTCTCCCGTAGACTTTCCTGCCTCTGCGAAAGAAAAATTTAGTAGTGCCATCAATGACAAACGTGCGGAGGATAAACTAAATATAAAATCAGTCATTAATACAAATCAGAAGAAGCTCATCTTAAATGTCCCAAAGTTACCGTTCAATTTAAAAAACGTTAACATGAAGTGTCCACCAAATGCAATCCACTCAGCTCAAAATAATGATAAACCAAAAACCATTCAAAATATCAACGAGACAAGCGACATAGCAAGCTCTAGCTTCAAAATTATGACCGATAGAAATCACTTCAGTTCCCTCAAATCTTCCACCCAAAGTTCTGAGAACAGTAATCCCATTAAAAATACAGATAATGAGTCAACTGCAGTAAAAATCAAATCATATAAGAATGACAATCCTGAGATTATTCATCCAAATCTCAAAAACCGAAATACCAAAGGAGTCCTCTTAGCGAAAAGACCATTTCAATCAACTATAGATGAAAGCATTCTCAACCCAGGGAGTCCAAAATCAGATGCATTGGCCAAGCCTGCTGGCGAATTATCACAAGCAATGAAGGGTGAACGTAAAGATATAACCAAATCTCAAATGAATGCTCTTGTTAGTGAGCGAACAAGGAAATTAATCATTGAGAGCGCTGTATGGAATAAAAAAAATAAAGTTGAAAGTTTTTCTGCAGAAAAACAAACTTCTGAAAAAGAATCGATCACAAATCAGGAGTTGATTTCTTCATCAAAGAAGGATAGAGCACCATCAGAATTTCACTCCAATGCTATTAAGCCTGGATCTTTGAATAGTTCAAAAAACGAATCAATCATTCCCAAACCCCAGTCTTCCGATATTGTAAAATTTAAAACTTTAAGTTCTCTTAGTTGTATATCTTCCGGAGAACCCGAACTTCCATTTCCTGTCACTGATGAATCTCAAAGCATCAAAAGAAACGGATCTCTCTCAACGAGTTCCAGGGATTCTTTAGAAAAGTCTAAAGTTGGTCAACAAACAACAGCTGTTCAGGTAAACATTTTTTATAAACACCATATATTAATACATGCAGTAACTGTATAAGTAACGTACATTAAGTTTGTGAAAAATCATAACATTTTGAACTAAACTTGTCCTATCATCTTTAGCTTGACTCAGTCCAAAAGTTAAATCTACTCCAGCCTAAAGCCTCAACGCCAGTATTTTTATCGGTTAACCTGTAATTGCGTATGTCTGGAACAGTTTAGGTTCAATTTTTGACCCACAAAATATCACTCAGTCTAAAGGTTAAATCTACTCCAACCTAAAGCTTCAACACAAATTTTATCGGTTAACCTGTAACTGCATGTGTCTTGAACAGTTTAGGTTCAATTTTTGACTCACAAAATATCCATGGGTTTTGGTTCAGCTACATTGTTCAGTTTTTTGCATTGGCAACTATAATGGTCACAAGGAAAATTGTGGGTACATCTCTCGAGGCGGATTGCTCTACTCTGGCACTCCTCTGGCTTGAATTCTGCCAAATTATGTTTCAAAAATGATCCCAATCTGCTTGTAAAAGCTGGCTCAGTAATATTGTTTCTGTCATGTTGTTTGTGTCAATTTGTCGTGTTTTCGCAAGATTTTGTCAGTGCACTTATAATATTGAATTACTTACTGGTCAAGGAAGAATATGTGTGTTTCAAGTGACAGTGATTTAGTTCCCAAAGCCACTTAAATAAATACTCTTATGAGCTTGAATTCTCAGTATTGCAGGAGTTTTTTGCCAGCTCCACACTCCGGCAAACCATGTCTGCTTATTGACAATTCATGCACAAGTGAGTTATTTATGTGTTATTTGATTTTTCTTGTGCCTTCTTCTGTAATGATTTGATTCAGTGGCTAAGTTGGTGGCACTTGTGAAGTATAAATCAGTTTGCATATCCAATCACGCACAGCTTTTGCAGCAGTCATTCTCTTAATGTTGCTGTATACATTTTTCATTAAGTCTCGAAAACACTCTGCAGTCTCATAAATCTCATAAATGTCAGGTTCATGTATGTTTTATTTTTTTCAAATCTGATCTTGTGTCATTTATTGTAAATATATTTTCAGGTGAAAATGGAGGAGGAAGCCGTAATAGAGTGTTCAAGTCAAACCAATTTAGATGATGAGGGTGAGAGTGGAGGACAAGTGTTCTACATTCCTTTACAGCAGCCATCATTGGATTCATCTGCTATTCAAGGTGTTGCAGTCAAACTCGATACAGAAGGTCCTAATAAACGTGTAATAATGCGGGCTAAACTTGTCACACAACCACCGTCAGAATTTTCTGTGCAAACTGAAGCAGTCAGGTATGATCAGTCAATATCTGCAAGACTAAAGTCTCCTCTTATCTTTCTTTCCTGTGTCGTTAAAATAGCAACACTTGAGACGTTCATAATAAGAGCCAAGAAGTGGATACCTGAACGCTAGAAACCCTATGCTTTAGCACATTCACCCTTAACATCCAATCCGGCACTTGGCTCAAGGCCACATTTTTTATACTGAGAAGCCACTAAGGTTTTGTTGTATCTTAAGTTGGTAGCATGTCACAGCACAAAGACTATAGCCCTTGCTAGGAGGTATACCCTGACTCGGGAATCATGTGACCCTTACGAATACACGTTTGTCTTCCTTACCTTTTCATTTTCATTCTATTATCGTTTCCTTTCGTTCTTTCATTTATGACTTAGTTACATCAGGTTTCATTTCAAGTCTTTTACTTTTGTAAAGAGTTGATTGGAAATAATAATGATTTAAGGATCTAGGAAAAAGAGGTCAATCACAAAAAATCAACTATACACAGGTTATATGAGACCTGGTTGTCAAATTGAAGGGCGGAAAGAAAAAACAATAATAATATTGTAATATCATCCACGTCAATGCATTCTTATTTCATGAGGAACGAGAATTCTTTGATATCAATTCTATTCCAACAGTTCACGTAAAATTTTGTTCACACTAGCCTTTCATAATTTGTTTATTTGATTAATTTTTTGTGATCAATTATTCCAATGTACTTTTTTTTCCCTACCAGCTCTGTCATGCCTTTGCAAGCAGTTGCCCCGGAAAAACGGAAAGTAAGGCCATTAGGGGCAAGTAGTGTAGATAAAAGTGCTCCTGTGGGCACTGTATTGCCCACTTCAAGAAATGTGGTCACTGATGAGAATGTTGAAGGTGTTGACCAAGGAACTCCGTCACTTGCTGATGGAAAAACCGATGAACATGTGATAACAAGATCAAATAAAAAACTGGAGCTCTTCTCAGTGCAAACATTGAAAACTAAATGCCCAACACCAACTAACACTTCATCAAAAAAGCCTACATCAGCTAAGAGCCATTCTTCAAAAAAAGAGGCAGAACAGAACAGCTCGGAGTCAGCATCAGCCAAAATGAAGCTCAGCGCTAAAGCAGTAAATGACACTAAAAAAAAGATGGAAAGAAAAATGAGTACATCATCTTCTTCCAGTTCCTCTTCCATTTCTTCCAAGTCTGCTAAAAGGTAAACATTTTTCATCGGCCATCATATTCTATGTATTCTACTTTCAGATTTGAAAATGCCGAGGAATCTAATTCTATTTTGATCATTTGTCCCTTTACCTTCATAATCTGAGATTATGTTACTTGATTCCTCTTATATAGCAGATTTTCTAATGACATGTGACTACTCTTGTATTGAACAACAATCAACATGGACTTTACACAAGATTGACCAACTTCAATCTCAGTCTGATCTTTCAAATATTTTTATGACTGATAGAAAATCAATTCCCTAGTCAGGAATACCCACAAATTTTCAATCATAAAAATCGAGGTAACTTTAAAACAGCTTATCTCATGAACGGTTTGTTGTAGAAAAATGATCTTGGTCTTAAAATTTAGAAGAAATCGTCAGCTTTTAGCTGACATAAATGTAAGTGGTTAATTTTGAAATTTTGTCCAATTGTTGCCACAGTGCTACAGCTTAAATTTTCAATCTTTTACATAATGGGTTGTGGCATTCATGATACTGAATAAAAATTTGTTTAAGTAATGTTCGTAAAAATAAAATGTCTTTCCTTTGGGTCAGATCTGTTGAGCGCCAAGTTGCGGCTCAAATTATTGTACCTAAATATTGGAAATTCAAGGCATGGCATGATTTGGCAATGGTTGATTGAAACTTCAAAATTGTATTCTGGCAATCATGCTTCTAACTTTCATGTATCAGTGTTATTCTTAGTGACCACTTAGATAAGAGAAATTTTGTGGCCCCCAAAATGCAGGAAACTTCAAAAACTGATTGAGTGGTCTCATCAAAATGGAGATAGTAGGGAATTTTCTTAACTGTGACCATGTCATAATTACTTTTTTTGTCCCTTTCTCTCTGTATTTAAGTTCATTTTATAAGTAATTACCTAATTTTCTTCTAATTATGATTGATTTTAGATTGAAAGAAAAGAATGAAGTAAACTCAGCCTGTGGTGGAAAAATTTTGGAAGCACCTTGTTTCTATCCCTCTGAAGAAGAACTTCAAGATCCGTTAAAATACATCGAGAGCATAATGCCTCAAGCTGAAAAATTTGGGATTTGCAGAATTGTACCACCATCTAATTTCAAAGTAATTCTCTCTTGATTCAATTATTCTCTCCTTTACAGGCAACCAATCGGTTAAGTAAGATTGAGAAAAAATTCAAAGCAGAAGATGGGAAGCATGAAAAATGTCCAAAATAATTTTATGAGTTGAAAAAAATAAAATAAAAAAAAAAACCACGCAGCAGACCAATCATGTATTTCTAACAATAATTACCCATCACATTCTACAGATTGATAACAGGGCTCAATATTTGAACTAGCAAAAACAAAAATTAGGAAACAATGCATTTTGTACTTTGAACAATTGACAAGCTAAACAGTGCTCACTTGAAATAATCGAAGTAATTGATGATCATCATTTGCTGTATAAAAATCCAAAAGAAAGATGGTAGCGACACAGTTTGAAGGAAGTAAGAAAAAAAATCGAGCGAAACAATTTCAGAAACAAAAATTTTGTCAAAACGCTAAGACCTTTTGAACGATGCACAGCGCTCTAAGCCACTGTGCTATTTCAATGTTATAACAAGAGGAATGTCAGCAAGGGCCTCTCTGCAAGAACAGCTTTTTTAAATTTTTGTTCGGGTCCTCCAGGGCCCATTTACTAAAACGGCAAAATAGTGGTCCAACAGTTTTATATGTAGAAACTCTGGGCCAAGTTCCAATCAAAATCTAATTGGGACAATATTTGACCTCCCCTTGTTAGTGACACTTAATGGATCGGAGGATAATGAATGTAAGATTTAGAGGAACACATCTGATTCATGGCGGTTCAGCAAAACACTCTATGTTCAAAAATTGGGCAATTTTCAAACAGGACCAGTAATTTGGGCAGAAATTTTCCCACCAAACCACAGGACATATCCGTCAAATTGAAGTATATATTAAATCCTTCTCACGTAAAAATGGCTAGAACCTGAAAGTGAATCCGATAGACCAAAAATTTGGTCAATCAAGCTGTTGGTGTATTTAAGTCGAAGGGCTCTTAATGGATTCCAACAGCTGTAAGTTAATTCTCCTCCTCTGCAGCCAAACTATACACACTCATTTTATAGAATTCGAAACACCTTTGATCTCTCTCTTAATTTATGGTTTACTTTTATTTCAAAGGATTGGTTTCTCCTTTGTTTTCATTTTTTGGTCTTCTTAATTTTATCATAATTGCAAAATTCTTTTGTTTCTAGCCGGATTGCAAAGTCTCTGACGATATGAGATTCACCGCTAACACACAACATATTCATCGAATGATGAATCGATGGGGTGCGTCAAGCAAAGAATTATCAGCCATTCGTAAGCAGCTTGCCGCTGAAAATATTCCTTTAAAAAGTCCTCCTTGTGTGAGTATCTGCTTATTTTGTCTTGTAGTGTTGGACTTTTCTCGCGGTGAATATTTATAGGAAGCATGAATACTGAGTAAATAATTAAAGACTTCACTTTAATAGAAATTAGATTGGTAGCATCATTCGTTTTCAAATAATTTTGCATAAATGATTCAAAATGAGACCATTACATTTGTAGGTATGTGTTTTCCTCCAAGTATCAAGTATCCTTATCCTGAAAAAATATAATATTTCTGTTTGCCTCTCTCTCATAATTTCCTAATTTGGACTTCCGTGTATTTGTTTTCAGATTGGTGGTATTGAATTAGATTTGCCAGCTCTGTATCAAAAAGTACAACAGTTGGGAGGTCTAGCCACGGTCGTTCAGTGCGACTACTGGCATAAGGTAGCAGAGGCGCTAAAAATTCCAAAATCTCTCCATGATCGTTCTACTAAACTATATGATATTTACTGCAAATATTTGTTACCCTACGATAATCTGTCTGAAGGTAAGAGCTTAACTTAAATTAGTTTATCTTTGTACTTTGTTAGCTCTAAAAGGAAACAAGTAAAAAAAAAAAAGACTTCTTTGCATTTACTTCTTTTACATGACAGATAGTTAGAGATCATAAAATTTTACTGTTATTCTGCGCAGATTTCACTACTATGTTTTACTAATTTTAATGTTATTTTATGTTGATTTCTACTTTATTACAGTCGTGATTTTTGCATTTAAGATGTAAAAATACATTTTTCCAATCAATTTTTCTCCGAATCAGTTCTTTGCTCAGAGATATTTCAAAGAATGATTCTTCATTCATTTTTAACTCGAGCGAAAATTTAAAATTACCTGATGCCCCTACGACTCATTTAGGCACTACACTGTGGTAATAAACAGACACTGTAGGAAGCAATAAGTGTTGTTCAGTGCTGTTGTTAAATTTTTCACCAATTATTTAAACCTAATTGATTCATCCCAGAGAACTAAATTCTCAATTCTTGCCAATTTGACTGAGTAATGCCATGATCTGATATTTAAAATTAATTTATTAGAAACACACCAATATATTATGCTTCTTACAAATATAAAATCACCCACTACAATGACTATTTACTTTTATCTGAATATGTTTCTTTCAGCAAATGCTTTTCTTTTCTAAGCTTTCAATTTTTGTAATTTCCATTATACTTTCAGATGAGAGACGAAAACTATTCATAGCTGTTGAAAAAGAATGGAAGCATCACAAGTTTGGTGAAAATGATTTCTTTGATGATCTAGATAAGTGCATACTAAAAGTAAGCAAGATACTTTTACCTATACATACACCTATATTGAAATTTTGCAAAGCCCCCAACCCTCCTGTTAACTTTTGATGAAATTGAACGAATTAAGTTCTAAGGAAATGCTATTAATTATTTTGAAAACATGTCTCTTCAATATTGATTCTGCCTCCTTCCCCGCCTCCATGATAAAGTACATCCTTATTCTGTTTCCCAGCAATTGAGTGTGTTTCATTGCTCATTAGAAGCTGAGAACAACATGGAATTAAGAAATAACGCCCCTGCAATAAAAAAAAAAAAAAAAAAAACTCATAAGTAAATATCAGGACGGTCTCTGTAAATTGCTAGCAAGCCATCTGAATATACATATTATCTTACCATGTTGTATAATAGTAGTAAAAAAAAACAAAAAAAACAGGCGCATATAGCTTCTTTGATGAAATTCAGCACCTCTGGTAGACATACTTTTCATAAATGTAACAGGAAGAATTGCCCAATTTCAACTACTCTCTGCTAGAAACCACATAGTTTTGAATCAGATGTTAGTGTACTTCTCGCATTACATTTGTCTCCAAAGCTAAAATGAATCTAATTTTTTCATCATTTACCAGGGTCAGACAATGGCGTTAAGTCAGTTTTACAGGATCGCAAAAAATTTGATGGCTTTGTATTTTGGCGGAGCTAGTGTGGAAAACGAGTCTGGGCCTGATCCCAAGGATGTTGAAAAGGCATACTGGGAACTTGTCTCCACAGGCAAATCTCATGTTAATGTTTACGCTGCCTCCATTGATTCAGGCCCCCAAGGCTTTGGGTTTCCAACATCATCATCCAAAAATTGTGCTTTTTCCAAACATCCATGCAATTTAAAAGTCTTGACCCACAATATCCGTTCAGTTCTACGGTCATTAGGACCCATCACTGGTAAGATATCTTTTTTTTTTTTTGCTTAATCAAATAATATTTTTAAAATTTTGACCCTTGTAGAAATCTTACAAGTTGGCAATTTTCATAAGATTATTTGGAAAACAGGAATGTCTCTGAACTCAGATGTTGTGAGATGTACAGTCTTTTCAGCACATCGGAAGTAAGTGATCATAAGTTAGAGCAGCTATGAACCTTATACCGTGAAATAACGAAGAGGAAACTGCAATTCTTATAAACAAATAAATTAAAGTGATATATTTCTGTGATAGGACAGAGTGTGTCTGAAACATTGTAATTGAAACACTCTGACTTGCAAAGTAAGCATGATCAATACTGCAATGTTGTATTAATAAAATTTGCCATATTATATTATTTTAAACGGAATTCAATCATCCTCAAGTCTCTTACATCAGATAAGTGCTGCATCTATCACTTATCTGATTTTCCATCATTTTCATTCATTTTCTATCAAAGTTTCTTTAGGAGTTTGCCGCATGTTCGTCCTGTAAAATGACAAAATACCATTGACATGTCTATTGTATTTTTCTTCACAGATTTAACAATACCCACTTTACATGTAGGAATGTTATTCTCAACACTTTGCTGGTTTAGAGATCCACATGGACTACCCTGGATTGAATACCTTCACACTGGTGCTAGTAAAATTTGGTAAGTTTTTAGAGTTCTTATTAATTGTTCCTTCATAGTTGAAACAGATTCTGAGGCACAACCTGAAGTCAAAAAGTCTCTTTTTCTTTCATACTTTGTGATTTAACCAGAAAGATGTAGTCGCACAGACTCTTTAAACCGAACACCATTCAGGCCAGAAGCTAATATCTTTTGGTCACATGATAGGTCCATAAAAGCCAGATCTTAACAAGACAGAAACTCAAATCTCTACTACTTATCACTGATCTTTCAGCTGATTACCCTGTCTGGTCCTTTTTAAGGCTTATTTTCTTTTAATCAGCTATTGAATGTCTTTTTTCATAATTTGATCTCTAAAAATGAAACTTTTACCAAAGTTTTGCGAAAGTCAGCTTATTTTTTTAAATAAAATCGGAAGAAATTTAGCTCAAAGGTCAGGGAAAGTAAGGGAATTAAAAAATGTTGGAGTCAGGGAATTTGAAGATGAAGAAATTATGACAACTCTTGATTTTGATAAGGCATCCATTTGATTTTGGCTGGAACAATGTTATTATATTGACACTATAAATTTTACAGGTACGGAATTCCAGCGGAAAGTAACTCAAACTTCAGGAGAACATTATCTCGACTTTTACCAAGTAACAAACGAAGTGATCAACCCGTTTGGTTACCATCAGATTCCATAATGATTCCACCCAATATTCTTCTTGAAAACGGTGTCTCCGTTTGTCGCACTGTTCAGCAACCAGGACAGTTTGTCGTAGTTTTTCCAAGATCGTTCACCTCAAGCATTTCTACTGGATACCTGCTATCAGAGTCTGTGTTCTTTGCCTTACCATCTTGGTTGAATTTTGCCTCTGAAGTATTTGAGGTAAGTTTTGATGTTTCAATAGAAATAACTGGAATTTTCTCTGAATCCAACCTTAAATATCTTTTCAATATTATTTTCATTAAACGTCATTTCCCCTCACTAATTTTTATCCAAAGAAACACCTAATTTCTATGCACTGTTCCAAATCATTTGATTTTTTTTCTCTCAGGACTCTTCTGTTAAGTCGATTGTTCCTGTTGTTTTTTTTTAAATGTAAAAAAAAATATTTTATTTTTGAAACAAAGCAGCGAGAACAACAAGTGCAAGAGACTCAAAATTATTCACCTCTAATCTCAGGAATTTTTGCAAAGCCTGTGCTGAATGATTTTTTTCCTTTCTCTACAACACAATGTTGATGCTCTATAATTTTTTACAAAAAAATATTTCATATTGCAACCGCTCTCCGTTCAAATTTTTATTCATATTTCCAAAGGATTCCAATAATTTTCTTCGTGTTTTAGGATTTGAAAAGAAGTTGTGAACCAAGTGTATTCTCATTTGAACGTTTGCTCCACTGTATTGTCACTGATACCAGATCTTCTGTCGATCTATTAATTCAGGTTGGTTACTTATCAATCCTACTATCACTTTCTACATCCCAACAAGTGCTTTAATGTGATACGGTTTGCAGTAATTACAATTTAGAAGTCTAGTGGTCAACAAAGAAAGAATATAATGATTTTCTCTTAAAATGCCATTAAAAAAATATCTTCCAATATCTTCTCTTAAAATATCTTCCATGATAATCACATTTTCATCTCTTATCCTAATTTTTTCTTTACTTTAAAAATTCACACTTCTCTCAGTTCACTTTAGAATTGAAGACTTGTTCTTAACCACATCCATGGTGTGACACACATCCCATCAAGAACTTTTATGAGCAATATCTTTCAGGTAAGGTTTTTACCGCAAAATTAGGTTACCAAGTAATGGTGCCTTTTAAGAATGGTGATTTTAAATAAGCTTGTCAGACTACTATTTTCTTTGTAGAAAAGAAAGAAAAAATAATCCGATTATTACTTTCCTCTCTACCTCCCCCCCCCCNCTGAAAGTACAAAAAAGTGAAGGAAATAATTATTTAAAATTTTATTTTTTCATGTTTCAGGTGTCACCTCTTGTAAATGAAATGCGTGACCGTGAAGTTGCACTGCGGGCACAATTGGATTGTCTTGGCCTACATACAAGTGATAGATTGAAATTTTCAGCAACAACAGAAGATACCTATGAATGTGAAATTTGTTGCTCAAATTTGTTCATTTCTCATGTAAGTCTGCCAATGTCATCAGATCATTTTGTATAGTCTCAAATTTTAGCTTTAATCATCATAATAAAAAAATCAAAGTAAACTCATTAACAGCCATCATCTATAAAATTACACGTCTACTGCCAACAATAATATTCTCTCCTTTAATAAAAGCAGTACAAATTCTTAAATGGCTTAAACCTTGAACTTTCTTGATCTATTTTCAGTGTTTTTTCTCACCCTTCAACAAAAGAGTTTAAAAGAGGGAGTAAGAGTTGATTTCATAATGTATTCAAAAATTGGTTTTACAATTCCTCCATCAAGTGAAATTTTGAAAAGCATCCGGTTTTTAAGAAAGAGACTTTAATGTCTAGATAAAAAAAATCAGAGGGTGAGAGAGTTATTCAATAATCCTTTTTTCTCTACTCCTTTTTAAAAGAATATAAAAGCGTAACGGCCGCAACATCACATTTGCCGGAGATTTTATTAATAAACCGCAGATACTGGAGACTGCCAAAAGTCTTTCAAAATTGAGGGTGATCTGGTGGCACTGCAGGAAGGTTTGAAATGCAGGCTCAGTTTGGGAACCTTTTGCAAGGTTTGGTCCAGATCCAAAATTTAAGAGTTGCACAGCTCTTATCAAGTTACGTCTGCATGAATGCATGAGCCATAACTTGGCTTATGCCATGCATAAAATTCAGGGCTTGAATTTTGTGCAAAAATTATTTTTCTCCCACCAATGAAGCTTGCTGTTGTTGATGGCCTATAAAATTTCGACATGTGTAATGGTGAAAAATGTTCACCTGTTATCGGATATTTGCGTTGTTATACTAAAGATTTCTTAAATGAAACTCCTAATACATCCAATATTTTCCTGAATTGTAACTACGTAATCAAAACTTAAATATTTTGTTGCTTTACTTTACTCTATATTATGAGTTTTATTTTTTATTCCCATTTTCTTATGTGCAACATCCCACATGATTGAATTTCATTTTTTGATTGGCAGGTTTTCAACACTCAAAATGAAGAAGTCTACTGTTTGAGTCATGCTGCAGAGCTTTTGTTAAAAAAGAAACAGTTGCTGAAGCATCTCAAATTGTTTTACAGGCATTCTGAGGTAAACCTCTTCTCTATTTTTCTCTAGAATAAAATGCCACATCTAATTTAATTTTTGATTTTTCTGCATTTAGCCTGTTATTGGTATTAAACCTCAATTTTTAAACTATAAACACATGTTCTTCAAACTCACAAATTTGTAAGAGTCCACGTCAAATAATGTATGCACTTTTAGATTGCGACAGAAGATCCGCCATCTTGATTCTTGCATTTATTTTCAATTATTATCTGACGTCACGCGATCTTCTGTCACAGTCTAAAAGTGGCTGAACTTTTTAGGGATTCAAGTTACCTTCTTCATTTTCTCAGGCCTCAGTTGTCTCATTATAGCCTTCATCATGACGCATTACGCTGGAATATGTTGGTTTGTCGTAAAGTAAGTAGAGGTGCTACCCCTCCTGATGTCTCTCTCAGCTCCAGCACACCTTAGTCTTTGATATCTGTATTATTCATGCGTTTTTTCCTTTTTTTTTACAGCAAGAAATGGATGAGTTGGTAAAGAAGCTACTTGCTAGAATAGAAGAAAAGAATGTCAAAAAACTCTCAAAGAAGTAAAAATAACCATGAGGTTTGTATCTGAATTTCCAGAAGTTTGTGAGAAATGCTTATGAGTTGCATTTAGCTTGAGTTTCTTCCTCTTTTCCCCCAAATTTTACACGATTTCGTGCTTCCAATTCTTTTTCATTCCAGTTTTTAAGGCATAAGGGGCCTGTTTATACCTTAGCATCCCTATGTCGGTTATTTTGATTCTTCTACAGTCTTTTTTTTTAAAATAAAAAATAAATAAATTACATATCATATTATGTTTTATCAAACATAATCTTCAATTCCTCATTTTTTGTATTCGAATGAACTTTTCGTAGTTTTAATATGCTTATAGTCATATTAATTTGAGCTGAATGCTAATGGGAAAACTGTGATTTTTAAACTAAAAGGACTTTATAAAATTATATGACAATCAATGCCATTGTTTTTTCCCCTGTCAAGTTCATCAATGATATACTATCAGAACTCTGTGTTTTAAAAACATAAAACTTTTACGATCCACTTGTAAATATATTGTCCTCATTTTTTGTGTGGAAAAAATCTTCTAATCAAACCTTGAAGATAGTCTGAAAAGTGTACATAGCTCATGTGCAATTATTTTGATTTATAGAAAAAAAAAGAGAAAAAATCATGAAAGTTTAGAAGGCAAAATAGCTGAGCAATTTAACCTTCTTTTTTTAACTTTTCTTGTGAACGCCAACATTTCAAATATGGAGGCATTTTTTAGGAAAAGGAGGTATGTATAAGTAAATCATCCCTCAGTGTCTTGGCAACTTTTCTGTCATTTGTACTTGTTTTGGTTTTATAATAATATATTTTATTGTACGCTTATTGGAGGGGAAAAAGAAGAAAAAAGTAAAAGGGAGGGCTGCATATAAGTGCTCCTCGCAAAAGTAGGTGGTTGTAAGGGAGAGAAGATAGTGTTGCCCTCAGACGCTGCATAATGAGAAGAGGGTAGTCAATTGATATTCCGACACCTAGCGAACAAGCAGAGACTCAATCTGTCCAACTGAAAGGGTGAGTCTCAAGCCTCAGAAGATTTTTACTCAAACTCCTGCATTTCAAATGCCCTAATGATTACCTTGTAGGAGGAGTGAATATTTTTAGTTGCCAAGTTCAGAACCCTTTAATCCCAACTGACATGGTGTAGCACTTTTGGGGTCACCCTGTATTAGCATACTTAAAATTTCACTTACAGTCTGAGCCTGACATGAGTTTAGAATCCAATTTACTAAAACATAGTTTCGGAATGGCTTCATTCTTCAAACTTTTGATGTTTTTCCTTGAAATGAAAAATATCACAGTATTCCTTTCAACTAAAGAATGCCTCAGTTGTATTTTGTCTTGTTTATCAGTACATATTACTGCATTATTTGGCAAAATGATGCAGTATTAAATTTTAAGACTCTAAAAAAGATTTTGAAGTTAGTTTTTAAAGTAAAGTAGGACCAAAAATATAGCATTGCGGAACGGTGCAATATTAAGAGACTTTGACTGTATCAGTTTCAAAGACAAGAAAAGTGTGTATTTACATGATCACTTTACTAAAATCTACAGGCAATCGCTATTTTGAAGGAACATCCATCCTCAGGTCCTCAATGCTTCTTCAATTTCTTTCGATCAGATCCCATTGTAGTGTATTTTTAATGAGCCAGTCGAAATCACCACTAAACTGTTTTCAATCAATGTGCCTCGAGTAGGTTATCTGTCAACTTTTTTTTTTTTTTTTTGACATTCTTGTCGAAAATTGTAAATGCTGTGCCATTTTTAATTTTAGGATTGCATAAAACTTATGCATTCTCATCAGTTTTTTTTATAGTTAAAAAAAAATCATGAAATTAATTTATTTTTTGTTCAATATCTCTATTTTTGTACTGATCAAATACAAAACCAACTTACTGGCAAAATCATCTTGATTCTGCTTTTAGAAATGTATCATGAATATTTTATTTTTATTTATCTTGAAGATTATTCTAGGCTATTAATAATTTTCTAGAATTCGAGTTGTAGCTAAGGTTTAATTTTGTATTCTTATAAACGTCTAAGACTGCCCTTGTATTGGTTTCTTCCCTGAGAAAAATTTTCATTTCTTAAAATCAGTGAAAGCTTTTTTTAAATGTCGAAAAAATATTTGTTAAATATCTAACTCCCACCTCATCATTATGTTTCAATTTAATTTATCACCTTAGTTCCCTACCCTTCTCTACAATTGCTCAAATATTATTCTTTCATCTCTATAACTGAACTTCCAAAGTATGCATCAATCATCAAAAATGTAATGTAAAATCAAATTCTTTTTATACCTGCACTACTTGTGTTCTTCTAATTTCAATTTACTCCAAAATTTTAATTTTTATTAAATTCCCTGGGAAAAAATTGTTCATGGAAAAAGTTTTATTATCACTGAATGCTTATAATTTCTGGTTTGCCTTCATTTGCATCTTACAGTAAACAATAAAAAAAAAAAATTCAACCTGTAATTGAACATTTCACTGTTTTAAGAATTAACTCTTTAATCCATTCCATATTTTTTTTTCTTTTTTTCTATTTCGTTTTATTGAATTGATGTTGTGTCTCTTTGTATTCATTTTCTTCAATGCAGTGCACGTGAGAAGATTTGTCCATGAAAAATTATCTGCTTCATCATTTTGTGCAAATTTGTAAGAACTATTTGCTCATGAATTTTATAAATGATATGTAGTCTGATCTCAAATTTCAATTTTTTCTCATCATTTTGTGATTAGAAATCTCTTTTTCTTTTCCTCTTTTTTAAATCTCCTTTTTTGAGTGTTAAAAATAGAATTTGTATAAAAAAACTGCCACCTAGATTTTTAATTAATTATGACTAAAAGGATTAAGGAGAATTAGCTGAGACTGAATTTTTTGGATTTTATTTTATCTTGATCTCATATTATCCTGTTCGACGCACCCCCGACTGCAAAATGTACATTTCCAATGATCCTACTCTTACTTGTGAAAGTAATTTTCCTTCGTAATTAGTTTTATAAGTAATTTTTGTCTCTAACATATAGATGCTTCATTTTGTAAGCTATTTATTGTAATCAAAATTTTACCCAACTTTTTTGGTGATCTTCTTAATGAAGGTTTTTTTAAACAATCAATTTAGAATCTATTTTTGTATTTTTTATTTCTCTTCTCTTCATCATAATATTTTGTACTTTAATCCTCTATTTTCACATCAAAAGTCGTATTAATTTTTATCTTTGGTTCAAGTATATTTCTAAAACATTTGAACTTGTAAATAAATGAAAGGATGTATATTTTTGCAAAAGCTTGCTCAAATAATATTTAAAATCAGAAATTGTTTGTCTAAAAATTTTTGTATGTACAAAACTTTCCCTCTCTCTGCAAGCCTTGAAGAAAAGTTAGTTAGCCTTTTTTTTGTAAACCACTATGTTCTTCAATGCAAGGAAAAGAGTCTTTACTAATTTTTTCTTCTGCTCCTGAAAATTATTGCGTTCTTTTTGAGACTGAAGCAAACAACTCGGAGAAATCATGTGAAGAATAAGCAATGTCAGTAAAGTTTCTTTACCCTACATTTTTTTATTTTCTCATAGTACCTAATGATAAAAAAAAAGGTTTTCCTGAAATCAAAATTGTATCACCTCAAAAATAACATGCTTACTCAAACATACAATTGTGGCATTTCTGAAAGACTGAATATGTTTTTCCTTCTTTCCTTTGTATTTTATTTTGTCAATATTCCTTGCATTTTTGTATCAAGGAAAATAAGATTTGTGCAAATAAGCTTTTAATCAAGAGAAAAATAGAGCAAGTTCAATAATTATTATTATTTTCATTTTTACTTATTGGAAGCTACATTTGATAGAGCTTGTACAAGAAAATTTAAGACATTTTTGTGTTTAAATCACCGGTCAAAATCTAACTTGATGCCAAAGTTTTCTACCCTTGATGGTTTGTAAGCTCTTCAATATCACTAATTAGATGTATGCACTAGTGTACACTCCTTTGGTATTACTATTATTTCAGTAATGAAATTAATTGCTGAATTTTCAGTGGCAATTAAGCGCAGGCCTGTTGTAAAATCATTGGGCTTACTAGTTTTTTTAGTTTTTATTTTTAATACGCACAATTGCATATCATGTCCTGATAATGATTTTGTTTGCAGTATTTTTCATCAGGAGCTATAAATGAAATGAGCATGGTGCCTTAGGTAAATTCTTTTATCACAAAACTGAACAAGCTTTAAGCGCTGTCAACAAGAGCAGAATAGAATTGAAGTTCTGATTTTTAATTTAAAAAATCCTCTTTGCTTATTCCATTTTTAGTACAACTGGAAGAAATCCGCATTTTAAAAATTTACTGTGATATGATAGATGTATTTATCTATCTTATTATTTGAATGATCATGCATCCTCTTCTAATATTTTTATTGTAGGGTCTCATTTTATAACATCATGAACTAACATTTTACCCTAATCTCGGTTATCATAATGAGGATTTATCTAAAAATGTTTGAGTGTTTTCACTTTTAATCTGTTACCTTTCTTTTCCTTGCAGTTTTAGCTTTTGATGACTGGAATCATTGTCCAGGTCATCCCAATATCCTGATTTAAAAAGAAAAAAAATAATAAGTATTTTTTTCATTCATTATATCAGTGTTCTTTTCTAGTCAGTCAATCTTTCACATTATTTATGGTTACTCAATTTTTTTTTATCCTATGCTTTGTGCTCCTTCCTCTCTCTCTTTCTCTCTCTCTCTCTCTCTCCCTTTCTCTGATGAGGTTTTCATTTAACTTCGGCATTTTATTTGTAGGTAACTGTGTATCTTATTTTTTACTCCAGTAATTTTCTATGATTAATTTCAGTTAGTCTGTACGTTAAGCCATCATTTCATGAATAGATTTTGTGTGTTTCACCGGAATGACAGTTTTATTTTTATATACTCTTGTATTCATAAATAAAGTTTTTATTTTCTTCAACAATATTTGTCTATATTTTCTTCATACAATATAGTTTTCCTTTTGTATAATGATAGATAGGCATTTCCTTTTGACGGCAATTAAATCTGCTCAGGTGATGCATTTATAGAGCCAGCTGTGAAACTTGTTCAGGGCGCATGCATTCAGAGTTCCATTTTCAATGAGCTTTATCTTAAATCTGATTCAATGAAAAAGGAAGGAAAAAATCTTCTTTTGACAATGACAGTATGCATCCTACGAATTGATTCAGTGTAGAAACATATTTTGTCACCTTCCAGGCAAAGTATCACAAGCGCCATGCGACGTTTAAAAATTTCCGCCGCCATTTTATTTTTTTACAGAGAAATTGTTCAACGAAGATGTCCGAAAATTTCACTGAATTTTCTTTGTGCTGCCGATAAAATTTAGTGAAATTTCCAAACAGATTCAACCAATAATTTCTCAGTAAAAAAATAAAATGGCGGCGGAAATTTTTAAACGTCACATGGCGCTTGTGATACTTTGCCTGGAAGGTGACGATTTCTTTCAAGGTTTTTTAGTATCACAAGTGGTTATTTAAAGTCTTTCATTCCTGAAAAATCAATTTACCAGTATCTATAGTATATTGAGTAAAGTAAAGTATTGTATACGATTCAGTATTAATACATTTAAGAATCAGAAGTAAAGTCAGTCATATGTCATATACCCTCCACTCATTAGTTATCCTGTACTGCACCAAAATCGCCGGAAAATTTCCAAACCCAATTGTTTTCGAAAACCAATCGTTTGTCATTATTTTTTCACATGTTCAAAGAAAAGTTTTTGTGGAATGATGGATAATTGCAATAAATTCACAACATAAAAAAGCCAGATATCATTCCTTGAACATACCAACTTTACAGTCAAACTCTTTTCATGTCATCGGCTGTTTATTGTGGCTAAGGCTGACGCCCCATCACAGGGCGAAACCATTCAATGATAGCTTATTATATTATTCTACGGCAAAACATAAATTAAAAAAAAAAGAAGATAAAAAGAAAAACACGAATGACCGCACTGTTTCCCTACCAAGGAAAAAGGATGCAGGTATTTTATGCGTGTAGACTGTAGAATTATGCTATTTTTCATTACTCAAGCATCATTTCAAGAATTTTTCTCACATAAAAAGGAAAACTAGAGAGATGATTGATGTTTTAGCTTTGCGCAGTAATTTACTCTAATAAATGTCAGTACTTCCGTTCACAGCGAATTCAATGCTTTTAAAAATTCGCGGGTTCTTTTGAGAGACTTGGTGATCGATGTTTGTTCGGAGAGTCATCGCTCTCTGATGTTCCCCGACTGTGACAGCAGCCATTTTATTTTATTCCGTTCCTTTCGCACCGCCGTGAGGTGCGTGGTTTTTGTGGCAGAACTCAGTAACCAGCCGGTTAAAAATGAGGTGAATAAGTTTTTTGTACCAAATTTCCTTTAAATCTAGTGTGCCAATAGATTCAATCCTTTAGAAAATTTTGTTCTTGTAAAATTTCTCATCAATTCTGCAGATTTGTGCCCCGTGTTCCCGATGGCCTCCTTGCTCCGCCTGCATTGTTACCACGTGGATTGATAAGTTTTTCTTTTCTCACGCATCACTAGTCCCATCGGAGAGCACATTTCTCCAATATTTCTCTCAATTCTCCTCCAGAAAGTTTCTTCAACTAACTCTCGCATGTTTTAAGGGCCAACACATATGCTTGAACCTTTGTGGTGGGCCCCTCAATACTCCTTGTTACCCAAGCCTGATCCTGCCCTATCTATCAAACTGCAAATCTTTGAACTAAAATCCTCCTTTCCTTGCGCATCTCGTCATCACGTAGACCTGAAATTAGTGGTCTTACATCAGTTGCCATTGTCTGCGATGAGTTTACACTATGCGCTACCGCATGTGAAATCACCCCACCTAGAGCTCCCGCATCGTATGTTGAGACAAACGTCAATCTCCGATTAGCTCTGAATTCGCACCACTCAACAGGTTAATACATGTAGTCAGGTGGCACCACTGGTGAATGGTGACCTAGACAATACTTTGACATTTGTCTCAACATACGATGCGCGAGCTCTAGCAAGCAACTGTCACTCATTGTTCAGCTCACATAGTTTAGCCTAATCAATTCTTTAAGTCTTTTAAACTTAGCATCTACTTACTTGTAAAATCCAACTGAGGTCTTCATTGGCTGAGATGCGCAGTTTCCTAGTTTACATTACAGTCTTTTACAATCAAAATTTCTAAGTGCCGATCTGAAGAAAACTGGTGCCCGAAAATGATTTTTCTGGCATTATTAGATGAATTAACCAGAAGAATTGTTGTAGCATCTCCATGTTGAACAAGAGAACCTTACTTTCCTCCTGAACTGGGTAGATAAGATAGGTGGAAATAGTCAAATTCCTCCGAGCGATGAGAGCAAGCGGTGCCGCGTCCATGTCACAGTAGCCTCAGTCCTACATATCCTTTTGATACCGCGCACAAGAGGGCCAAGAAAGGCACTCTTCAATCCTACTCCCTTGAGATTGGCACCACACAGAACGTTTGATTTTAATAGCTCATTGTGCTCAAGAGGTTGTGAGTATCATCGTTTTAAATTATTTAATAATGTAGCTCGCGCCATATTTTTTGGTATTCTGATTATTGTCCTTTGGCTAACATTGCCCAAAACCCCACCGTAAAATACCGTATTATGTGAAAGTTCTATTCTTGTAAGGAGAAACACCCCATCAAAGGCTACTCATATGATCCTGTATACTACCAGGAGCTTCTATCACAATCAAGGTCCAATGTGTGCTAATCATCAATGTTATTGGCAAATAACTGTCATGTACATAAATTTCTGTGTATTATTTTTACTAATGTTTTATGCATTTTTCACAGTTCTCTAAAACTTCAGAAGAGGCTTGCAGCCTGTGTTATGCGATGCGGTAAAAAGAAAGTATGGTTGGATCCTAATGAAATCAATGAAATAGCCAATACTAATTCCCGTGAGTACAGACTTATCGTATTTTTTCTGTATTTAGCTTCTCACTTTATTTCCTTAGAATTGGGGAAAGAAAAGAGAAGATAAGTATCACATTTACCTGAATGCATCAATTCTCGGTTGACCCATTGGGTATCACACAAATTTACGTTGAATGGTGTATTGTCTGATGCGAAATCTGTCCTCTCTTTTTTTCTAGAGTTTTAGTTGCTGAAATGAACAGCTAAGAAACAGATTGACGTTATGGAAGATCTTTGAAAATTTGAGAGAAACTTGGATTCAAGTTAAACACCCTTGAACTCTAATTTCAGAGAGTCTCTCGATTGTAACACTAATTAATCCTCTTTTTATTATTTCAGCCAAGTATCTGCCAATTTGCTTTTGGAAATGGTCGTAATCATATACCTATCCTCATATTTGCAATCACTGCGCACCTTATTTTGACAGAAAAATAAATATACTCTATGTAATCTAAAAATATATTAGATTCTTTTATTTATTTCTACATTATTTTTTGTTCCTAGGTCAAAATATTCGTCGGTTGATCAAGGATGGTTTGATCATCAAAAAGCCTCATGCGATCCACTCCAGAGCGAGAGCACGTAAACGTGCAGCAGCCAAAAGGAAAGGTCGTCATCGTGGTATTGGTAAAAGGAAGGGTACTGCAAATGCTCGTATGCCAACAAAGGTAAAATCAAATTTTGAGTTACTAGTTACCTAAATCTCTTATTGATGGTGCGCAATTTAATGTCGAAAAATTTGAGGTTCTCTTCTGGAAGTCAAAATTAGGCTTTTGATCACATATATAGGTCCAGAAATTAATTGTCATCTATGTAATTGTAAAAGATCTTCTCAATCATTAATCAGTTTTGCCTTCCTTTAAGGTAGGCCATGTAACAAGCATGGACACATTTGTTCATGTCATGCTACGAGTCATTGTATTAATTAGTCAAGAAGTAATTTCTTACTAGTTTTGCATTGACCTTTATCTCAAAGCCGACTGCACTCACAGCAAATGGGAACCTGCCAGTGGCCTATCGGTGCTGCTGTGTTGAGTGCTGATCACTGCAAACTGCGCGGGCTACGCAGTTTGAACGATCACCGATGTAACTGACGTGCCACTTGCAGGTTCCCATTTGCTGTGTGTGGAGTTTGCTTAAGTTATTCATTCCAAACTTGCAAGCTGACTTGCTTCAATGATCTGTACGTTTTAGGAATTTCTTTTTCACCTATATTGCCTTTCCATAGTTTTTGTCAATGCAAGAATATATTAAGAGGAGCCTCATCTCCTTGTCCTAGGCCTTAGCATTTTGGCTCGTCCGATTATTTGGCCTCAAAAAAAGCATTTTATGCTTTGCAGCTTTGAAAAAATAGAGAAATATTAAAGCTCTGCTCTCCCTGACGGATCTATGCCATATCACAGTGCATTGTGAAAGTGATCTATTTAGAAACAGAAGACCTATCAGAAAATGAGCAGCATCATTCCATTCTGTTTGAATCATTGATTCTGTCCTAATGGATTTTTATTGGTATTAGAATGCCTACAAGTCTCAACGGACCAGTATGAATCAAATCTGATGGAAGCAGTATTTGTTTTTCCAACTTCCTGCCAACACTGAAACGGCAGCAACTCGACTGTTTTCAGTCGATTTTGGGTGGTCTGTTGCAAAAGAGCATACCCCTTTCATCTACCTTGACCTTGTATTTTTAAGGCAGCCCCAAATTAATGTATTTACCCACCAACCAACCTTACATGGACACCTTGCTCGTATTGTCAACTGTCTTTAATTTATTACAGATTCTGTGGATGACAAGGCAACGGATTTTAAGAAGATTGTTAAAAAAATACAGAGATGCTAAGAAAATTGACAAGCATTTGTATCACTCGCTTTACATGAAGGCAAAGGGTGAGTTTTCATTTGTGTGCTAAATCTCACTTGAATTGTAGTTTTGATCATTCAAAATAATTTTTAAAGTCAACTCATTCCAAAAACTTAGTAAAGAGAAAAAATGCAAGCAGAACTTCCGGCTACTCAAATTAAGAGTAAAGAATGAAAATAGGACACTACTTGACAGCAGTACCAAGACGTACATAAACCTCTATAGTGGCAGTTCAAGATAGATCACATTACCCCCTAATTAAGATGAAAATTGAAGTAATTTTGCGTATGCAGCAATAATTCTTTCCTAAAGCGTTAAAATTTTTGAGGGATAAGGGATTCTTGAAATGAAAAGGCTAAGAGCTTTCTACATTTTACTTAGGCAGTGCTCATCCGACTAGGTAGTAATGAGAGAAAATGAAAGACAGTCAAATTCTATCTAAAAGTAAAATTACGCTGTAAAGCTTGAATTTAAAGAAAATTGTTTAAACTAAATTGTTGAGTTAAAATTTACATTTATCGGACGAAAAATTAAAGAACTTACCTTTTAAGAAAACTTGGATTTACCGGAAGAAATTTCACCTTTACAAAGAAGGATAAAAGGTGCAGGGACAGCAAAAGTGCAACTCTTTTAAATTGTGTACCGTGGAAAAATGATATTTGACACAAGTAGCAGGGTTACCACAGTCGGGGAAAACGAGGAAATGTTGGGTCACATCAATTGCTCTCTAGAATGGGTTTGACATTTGAAACAACTTTTGTGTGAAAACCTTTTCAAATTATGTCTCTTCAACCGTTTGGCGTATTCTCAATTGTTAGGAAATTTTACCCATATGTGTTAAGGAATTGCATTTTCTAAATTCTGTGGCAATCTTAGAATAATCAGAAAGGGTTCTTTTTCACTCTTACAACCATCAATCTCTCCAGCTTGTCTTTCCTCGTCCGTCATTCCAGTGGCTGATAATCGAGGTCCTCTTGTGATGAAGAACCATTTTTCTGAGAAAAATCAAATCTCAATTGCACCTGCTTTACCAGATTACCCTGTTAATTATCAGAAAGTTTTAGGGTACTTGTAACCACTTTCTCCTAATTTAGTTATTGGGTTAGGTGTATCAATTATTAAAAAAAACACTTTTTCCAAGCATCACAGAAATTATGAATCCTTCTCTTTTTCACATTCTATATTTTGCAGGTAACACTTTCAAGAACAAGCGAGTTTTAATTGAATACATTCACAAAAAGAAGGCTGACCAGGCTCGCGCTAAGATGTTAGCTGACCAAGCCGAAGCCAAGAGACACAAGGTCAAGGAAGCACGTAAACGACGAGAAGAAAGAGTTAAGGCCAAGAGGAAGGAACTCCAACAAATGTACGCAAAGGAAGATGCCGCCGCTGCTGCAGCTGCTGCCTCCAAGAAATAAGGATTTCATTTTTTATCGACAAGTAACTGCTTTCTGCTGTTTTCTTTTAAACTGGATGATTTCAATATCTTGTGACTTGAATTCATGTGAAAAAATAAATCATCTTTTGGTTATTTTCATTACAAAGCGGAATT